ATTGGAAAATTGTTGAAGATAAAAATTTATCAACACTAGAATCTTCTAAATCAATATCCGATTCTAAACATTATTATTAAACCCATTTTTATGAACCGGAAATACATTAAAACATTCACGAAAATAGTCTAAAATCTATAAAAAATGATACTTTATTTCATGATGATGAATTAATTTCATGAAAACTCAAAGTGATAAAAATTTATCAACACTAGGATCTTCAGAAGAATCAGGGAATTTTTAATTTCAAGTATTGGTTTTAAATTTATTTTCATAAATCATAAATGCATTAAAGAAATTGATAAAAGCTAATCATAACCAAAAAATCAATAAAAAAAAAACTAGGTTGATTTAAAATACAAATAAACTCCATATTTTGACAAGAGCTTGACTTTCCCAAGACATCCTTTAAATCCAAAGGTCCAATCTCTAAATAGCCCGACCTTTATAAACATCCCAATATAATACACTTGACAAAAATGAAATTAACTTAAGATTTATATCCTTAAAAAGCTTTTAGAGCAATGAACTTTCTACACTAAATCTAACAAAAACAAAACAAAAATGTCAAAATAATTTTGAATTGTACTTCATGAGTTAACAAACTAGCCTATTTATTATTCCAACTAAAATTTGTTATGATCTAGTGATTTAGTAAAGTACTGATAATTATAGACACGATGTGTAAAGCACGAGAATCCGGATTTACGCTAATAAGAACTCAGACGATGCTCTTGGAATTCCGTAAAGGCCAAAGTACGAGAGCATAAGGAAAAGAAACTGGTGGCGGTATCACGAATAGAACTTATACATTCAGCTGAGTTAAACAAACATGAATCTTTCTCCATATTCATTGCTTCAACATAACCGGAACTCATGATTTTGCTATGACAAGAGATAAGAATATTCTTGGGTTTAAAATTTTTTTTTTTTTAGATATTAAGAGTTGCCAAGGTTTATAATAACTCCTAATAATTTGAACAATTTGATTTATAATTATAAAAAACAATTAAAATCATAAACAAAAACTCACCGGCTCGGTTCGTCCATCACCAGATTTTCCTATAGATTGACCCTCCAACCAACCCATCTTTGATAAAAGTTTGAATCCTTTGTTGTCTTTGGCTATGGACCTGCAAATAGAAGCAAATAATTCATCAGTATTATTATTGTTTATTGAAGAAAAAAAGACAGTATTTTAGCAAACAGAATATAGGAAATTTGGTAAAATAACTGGTGAATTTAAAAGCCCAAAGTTGAGGAAATAATTGTTGGAAAAAGGTTTGTAGGAAGATTTTATTTTTCTTTTTCAAACAAAAATATTTCCTGACAATTATCTCCGATACTTTGTTCTTGAATAATTTATGTTCCACCAAAGACATTCGTCATAATAAATATTGTTGTTCAATGAATGCTTAATTTAACACAACTACCCAAGCATACTTACATCTCCACTGAACTCTGTTGCGTTTTTACATTATGATCAGATGAACCCACGCATTCTCTTCGTGCTTGAGCACGGTCGTGATACCCAGGAGCAACTTGGCTCGCTGTTAAAGTGTTATCTTTATCTACACCAAATTTATTCTTCAGTCTCTTGAGTTCTGATTTGTGTTGACTTTTTATCGAGATAATATCACCAGTAGTATCCGAGCTTTGCTGCACCAATCCTGGCTCACAGTGACCACAAGTCTCATAGCCATTGTGAACGTGGCAGAGCAATTTAGTATTTCCGACTTGGACAATCGAACCGTGAATTATTGCAAGAGGCTCTGACTCTTGTTTAGCAACTGAAAGACGTTTTCCATTAACGTAAGTACCGTTTCGAGATCCTAAATCGATTATTTCATATTGTCTTTTGTCTTGGTCATACTGAAACTTAGCGTGATGCTGAAATAAAAGGGTAAATACTTTTTAGATATCAAATTGGTTGAAAGGAAGTTTTTTTTAGAGACAATAAAATAAGAAAAAAATGAATGATTGGTAATTGAAAATACAATAAATAACTTTAAAGAAAATTTAAAACTTACTTTACTGATGTTTATGTCAGGTATGAGAACTGAATGATCACCTTCTCTACCTAATGATCCACCAGTGAAAGTTATGATAAATAGAGAACCAATTTTTAGAAGCTGAAGATTTGTTTCTTTTACAATAATTCTCATACATGGTGGATAATTTTTTGCAATATCTGAAAACAAAATATTAATTATAATTTTTTATATATTTATCAGCCATGATTATTTTGATAGATAATTAATTTAAAAATCATTTCGAATCTTTTTAGTCAAACCATTAAATTATTTTGCCTCTTTTTAATAAATATAATCTCATTATTTCTAAATAATCAGAATTTCAATTAATTCTCTGAATGTTACATATTTAAAGCTGCACAAAAATTAATATTATAAAGTTATATTTATATGTAATTAAGTTAAATTATAATTATTTAATTTTAAAATAATTATAGATCCAATTGTTTATACTAATACCAGCATCACATAATGATATATATCATAAAAAAAGTTGAATTATGTTATTAATAGAAGCAATACTTCGATTTAATTTAAATAAAATAAAAACAAACAAAATAAAAATAGTTTTAATTATTTGAGAACAAAAAATTATAAAGGTTTTTAAAAATCAGAAGAAACTTTGCTTATAACTTGAATTTTTTAGTTCTCATCAAAAATCTGTTTTATAATTCCCCTTAAATTCCACAAACATTAAATATTTTTAAACCTAATTTTTATTGTTAATTAATAGTAAAATAATAAGTAAGTTAACTTTACAATTTTTTATGGCAAAAAAACTGGATAGGCATGAAAGTATAACATTACCTGTTATAAATATAATTTAATTATTAATAACTAATCTGAAAGATCCAACAAGATGATGATAAATTCAAAAGGTATCCAAGAATTAATTAATGAAACTTCTGTTTACAATCAATGAAATGTAAAAGGCTTCGAATCGAATGAAATTATTTATATATATTATTAAAACATTCAACTTGAGATTTAATGAAAACTTAATCCGTCCAATTAATTACTTTATTTATGAATTTATTTTTATATGTATTATTTGTAATCATTATTTTAATAATAATTAATTGTATTATCGGAGTCCTTTTTTCAGACACTGAATATTTTTGTTAGTTTTAAATAAACAAATGTATGAGATTAAAAAATAATAATATAAATTCAAATTAAATTGTGTATTTTACATCAATCATTAAGATATTCAGATAAATGTAAATTAATAATAATATTACGAAGTTTGAATTAATTTGAATATTAAAGGAATTATTGACAAACCTTGATCATCTTTCACACATTCTCCACCACTACTAGAAGTTCCTGAAGAAAAATACTCTGAGCCGGAGCTAGATTCACTTCCAGAGCATTCTCCCTCCTCTGGAGCATCTTTTTGTTCTTCACTATGACCATCCACAGACTTATTGATCTATTTTTCATCAATAATTAATTTTATAATTTATAAATAACAACATAACCTAATAAGTATTAAACACAAAAATAATTACCATTTCACTAGGCTTTGATGTCAACCGTTTTTTCTTCTTCAGCTTCCTTTTTTGACTCGATCTTTCCACAGGAGTGACCTGGGTCTGACTGTGAAACTTGTATGTCTTAGTTTCATCATCATAATAGTAGTAGATGCCTGAGTTTCCGTCGTAATAGAGTTTTTGAGTCTAAATAAAAGACAATAAATGGTAAATATAGTCAGTTTTAAATAATTTTTGGAGTTAAATAAATTTAATAGATGGTTTATTTTGTTTTATTTATAAAAAAACGAGCTAAAAATAAATGTAATATAGGTTATATATTGTTATAATTAATTTTTTAAACTTACTGCATCATAATAATAGCCAGTGTTGTAGTCATAATACAATCCAGAAGTTTCTTCGTACACAAAACCCGATTGTTGCAAAGTTAATTCTGCTGCTTGCTTGACTTGGTCAGTAATACTTCCAGAATTATTGGTGTTATCTGTTTCCCAACCATGTTGTGATGATTGGATTAAATTGGATTCTTTAATTATTTCTGCATCAGTTTGTACTCCTTTATGCTCGAATTTTGGCTTCTTGATTCTACTTTTGTCCAACTTAACCTAGAAAATTATTTTACAATATCATTTATTTAATCTTTAAATTATAATGTATTATCATATAATAAATAATATTATTCATTTTTTACCGAATAATTTATTGATTAATAATAGATAATTGTAAAGATTTGAATAAAAAAAGTAAATAATCAAAAATTCAAAAAAATCATACCTTATTTTTTAATTCCTTATGCAAATCTTCCAGCACTCTTCTCTGACATTTGATATAATCTTGTATTGTATTTATAAACTTTTTCAGCTCTGGATATTTGTCAATAATTGTTAATAAATCCACTGGAATTGTTTCAATTAATTTTGATTCATCATCAATGGCCATTAGTTTATTACTGTCACTTTTTATCGCTGAATTGTCAATCAAATCATCACTGTGTCTATCCATTATTGTATTATTTATTAATTAAACTAATTTCTTTTATTATTTACACTTATCGAATAACTAATTCACTAGATTTATCATTAAAAAACGTTTGCAAATTTGCGAAATATTGAAATTGTAAAATGGCCGTCTAGAGTGAGAAAATAAAATTAATCCACGAGATGGCGCTACCGATCAATTACTGTTTCGCGCGGAATTTTTGAATTTAAAAAATCCAAAAATTACATAGCAATTTAATTATTTTTATTACATTCAATAATATAATATGTATTAATAATTTTAAATAATAAAACAGTCCGAAAATAATACAACGTGTAAAATATAATATTATTCTGAATGTTTCATTATTCTAAAATTAATGATTAAAAATTATTTAAATCGATACGAGTGTATGTAAAAATATCCAATGATTTGTTGAACAAAAAAATATTTACAATAGGAGTAAAAAAATAATATTTAATATTATAAAAACTGTATCATAGTAAAAATATTGTAGAAAATGAGTATGTACTTTTATTTAAAAACTCACTCATCCGTAGAGAGCCATATGGTGATGACCTTTGTTTCACAGTCTTGTTCTATACATATTTTGTTGGCATTAGCCAAATCTAGAAAGATAAAAATATTTAATATTATTAAAACGATTAAAAACTCTTTTTATTAATTTCATAATTATTAATCATACATACTCGTAATATGTGCAAAAGCATAGACACGATTTTTTCTCTGTGTTTCAGGTATAGGTGCTAGATCTCTGAATGTTATTCTAACACCTCCTACGCATATTTGTTTTATTTTTTGATAAACATATTCTTCATCCCAATCAAGATCTTGTGGATTATCACGGCCAGTGAAAAAACTAGAATATCAAGCAAACAATACTATAATTTTTGTAATAACTTTTTTAAAAAAATGGTTACAAATTATTTATAAAACAATAAATTACATAACAATACTTCTATCACAAAAGACTATAAAATTGTGAAATTTTCTTTAGAATCTAAATACTGTTAACTAAATTTTAATAATTAAATTTCTAAATTACCTGTCAATTTCCGCTACTGGAACCGTATCATGTTCCGATGGGTTGGTCTCTATTGGTCTAATAACAAATTACTTTTGTTAGACTAAACTCGTCTTTACTTCCATTATTAATCATGCAAAAAGCTACTTACGGATCAACAAATTCATCTATATGAACTGATCTCACAGTAATATGACCTTTAACTTCCGAATCTTCAATTGGAAATTTATCTCTAGTATCTCTAGTAAAAGAAATCAATCATAAACATTTATTTTTATCTCTGAATGATATTTTTGATCTATTAAAATTGAATATTTAGAATAACTTACCCTTCAATCTTATCTTTCATTGATGATAACTCAATATTATCAATTAAATCTGAAGCTCGTAGATCTGAAGCTTGTAAATCTGAAGCAGAAAAAAATAAATAAGTAGGAAAAAAAAGTGTTTATTATCTGAGATTACTTACTCTGTTTTTCTACTGAAGAAAGAGAATGAAGATCAGATTTATTCATTTCAAATTCATTTTCATTCCGTTTGTGTGTATGATCTGCCACAAGTTGGAATTTCTCTAATAAAACTCCACTGATTGGTTTACGCTTCTTATTTTTAGCAAATATTGATGATGGTATCTTGAGGAGCTCTACTGCAGGTATCACAATATTCCTTGGTTGGATGATTCTCTTGTGTAAAGACTAAATTTGAGAGATTAAAAATTGATTAAGTTTTATGATTACAATGTAAAAATCTCTATTTCAGAATTAACATGACTAGTTTATTATTTTATCTAAAATAATAAACTAGTCTCTTTGATGAGTATATGAATTGAAAAAATCGACATTTTGACTTAAAAAAGGGGATAAAACGTTGAGGCAGGTAGATTGGGAGGAGTGTCGAAGAAGATTGTGGTAGGTAGTGGTAGTTTGGTGTAAGAAATTGTTCAGAATTGGGTGAAAATCGATGTCACCGATTTTAGGATTTTAGAATGATGTAATTTTAGGATGGTTTATGTAGGGAAGAGCGCGTTAGATGTAGGGTGTGTAAGGCTAGTTAATTATTTTATATAAAATAGTCATGTTAATTCTGAAATAGAGATTTTTCAGTATGGTTCAAAATTTCGGAAAACATTTCTAAGGTTGCTATAAATAATGATCATAAAAATAGGATTTCCACTTCAGCAAAGGGATGAAATTGCCAAAAACATTATTTTCAATTTAACATAAAAAGGTCCTGAAACTTTCTGTCCTATCTCTTGTTATTCAGCTGTAAAATTAATTTTTAACATTTCTCGAATGAAAAGTTTTGATTCAATAAAATAATAAACTCGATTTTTGATAATTAATTAGAATTAATAGAAAAAAATAATTATCTTACAACTGTTTGCGTATAAATATTTGTCAAATCATGTTTAATCATTGTTTCTTCATCAAACAATGGCTTCGTCTTCTTCTTCTTCTTATTTTTTTTAAGTATGTGTTCAGACTTTTCAATCTCTGGTAAAATCCAGACATCATCACTTGTTTCTGCTTGCGAGGCTTTCAATTGTTCGTTCAAGTTTCTCTGAAAAAAAGTCCATCAAGTCTAAAATAATACAACTTTTAAACATCTCATGCAATTAATTATATCAATAATCACTTTTACTTGTCAAATTGAATAAAAAAAATTAATTTAATTAATTGTTATTGCTATTATTTATCATTTAATTCTTTTCAACATATTTCCAAATCAATAACTTACTCGGCTGCGTTTGGATGGAGTTTCTATAGAGTCCCTATTATCTTTTTGCTTTCTTTTGGATGGAGTTTGAGGAATTTCAGGTAACGCTTCTTCGATATGTTGGGAAAAATGAGCGAAATTCCCTAAAATAATTATCATTTTTAATTGTTATAATCGATTATTTATTATTAATCATTAAATAAAAATTTTAATCTTTAATTCCATCATACCTTCATCGTTCTTTGTATTATCTGGCAATGCTGAAGCCTCATTTTCTATTCGATTTCGTTTGGATGGAGTTTCTGTAGAGTCTCTATTACCTCTTTGCTTTCTTTTAGATGGAGTTAGAGAAACTTCAGGTAAAGCTTCTCCCATATGTTGCAAGAAATCAGCAAAATTTCCTAAATAAATCATCATTTTCAACAGATTTAATAAATTATTTATCAATAAATCTTTAATTGCATTATACCTTCATCATTCCTGACATTATCTGTAACTATTCCAGGTGGTGTATTAGTCGGATGCTGTTCTAATTCTTCCAAAACTCGTTTCTCTGCACGAGCAAACGAACCATATTTTCCTGGAAAAAAAAAATGTATATTAACAGTTTTTAATGAATTCCTTGGATCCATAAAATAAACAGCAAAAAGTTTACCTTGATCAGTTGTTTTTATCAAACTAGATATTGGTTTCACATTGTCCCAACTAAATAGTAATTCATCCTTTGAAGCTGGCCCAAAATAACTTGCTTCGAAAATTTTTTTATCCTAAAAGACATAAAATTTATTATAAATATATTTGAAAACTAATTGAGAAAATTTGATTTTATTTATTTAATTAAGAGAAATTAAAATAAGTACCTCATCTGGCTCCTCAATTTCTTCAATGAGATTTTCATCTTTAACATTTTTATCATTTTCAAAAACTTTTGCCAGATCAATATCATCATCTTCTTCTTTTTCAAACAACAATATCACACTTGAATCGTCATATTCTTCTTTCCCTTTAGGTTTACGAGATTTGCCTTTACCTTGGGCTTTTGGAGAACGTTTTCGTCTTGCAGAAGCAAGTTCTGTTGTAAATCTTGCTAAAATTTGCTTCGAATCATCTACAAATAAAAAAAAAGAAGTTTGAACAGTAAATCAACAAATTTTTTATATTAATAAATATGATTGAATTAAATTTTTATTACATTGAAATTACATTTTCAAAGAAAAACGAAAAAATTTGCAAGTACTGACTATTTATGTATTCCACTTGAATGTAGAGAATTCTATCTAATCCCGCGAAGAGTTTTCGAAGAGTTCGTTGATCATGAACAGTTGTGATGCACATAAGAATGTGTTCATTGATTAAATCACTAAGAAAAAAGAAAAAAAAACATTAATATTTGTCATGTATTTTTCCAATAAATAATTAATTAATTGAATTATTTACAAAATAATTACCATATTTCAGTAAAATCTAAATTTTTTATTTGCTGATTATATTTTTTCTTAAATTTCTGTTCAGGCCATTCATAAGCATGTATGACAAGTTCAAGAAGTGACTTTTGTTCTTTACTTAAATTTATACCAGGCAGATCATCCATGTCGATTTTTTTTAATGAAATAAAAAAAAATGTCGTACTCAAAAAAGCCAAAGAATTTGTTTATAAATGTGGATATTTTTAATTTATTCAAGACAAAGAAAACATCAACAAGTGCTCCAAATAAATTTATTACGCTCTAAGCTAACAATGTAACGGTTTTTTTTTAATTTTTTTGAAGATACTGTTGCACAATTGGTCACAATGAAGCATCGATAATCGATTTAATTCGCGTCATCCCTGCGGTGATAACAAATTTTCTACTTTATCATTATTTTATCAACCCTCATTATTGTTTGACTGCTAAAAGCTGAAATTACCAATTTTTCTATTATTTCTATTATAATTTCAACATGGATTCTTCTACATTTTCATTATTTATCATTATTTAACCTCTAAAAAAGTAAATAATTATTATTTTTAAATAAATCAATCGAAATACTGTGTAAGATGATGACAATGTTTGCATAAATGCAGCATATTTCACACCAAAGCCAATAAAATATTGACAAAAGATGATAAAAGTAGACAAGTAAATGTTTTTCTTTATTAATAATATGAAATAATCCAACAATTATCCATTACATAGCCATTTTATCTCCAATATTTAGTGTCATTAATATTTCTTGAAGATTACCACCTGGATATGCTAATAGCTTTATTGAATATCATCTGATAGTGGTAAGAAAAAGGTTCATCTTTTTTTTTGTACAAAAGCATCATCAACTCAGGTGTAATATCAACTATCCTAAGCAATTATCTTAATGATAATATGATGACCTAGACTTTTATGGAATAAATTGATCTCAATATTGAAATTCTCACAATGCTAAAACAGCTGCTAATTGATATGATTCACAATATCAATTATTCATGAATAAATAAGTATTAAAGTGTCTTTACATATATTCCTCGAACATAAAATCGCATAATCCACATGAAAATAAAGATAAGACTGTCTATAAATTGCAAATTATTTAAAGAATTATTATTTATAAATAAATTTATCTTTACATATTGAGGAAGTTATCCATTTCATCTAAGAATATGAATTACTTTAGACAAATCTTGAAGTTAAATGAATTATTTGTGTTAATTTTGGTCATACAAGTTGCTAATTATGGTGTTCAATCAGCTCCAGCTCCAAATGACAAAGTTCAAACTAAGATGACTATTGTGGAACGATTGCTTGAAGAGTTCCAGTCAATGTTACCTGGCAATCAAACTGGTGGGACATTTGGAGAGATTTTAAACATGTTTGAAGGAAGATTCCATGCTATATTTCCAGGTATAATATTTTAATTTTTAAAATTACTTTATTCACAATTAAGCTTTCTTAAATAATCATCAATTTAATCCAGTCTCCATTTTTCTTTTTTATAGCAATGTTTTGAGAGCAATTTCATGATTATTTTCTTTTTCTTCAACAATCTTTCAATAAATTTTTTATTTTCACACACTATTTATTCTCAGAAAGTATAAAAAGGATTAATAAAATATTCTTGCTCTATGAAGATGATCAGAGACCATCTGTAAACAAGTGATTAACATCAACCATCAATAGAAAATGCATAATCATTGAACTAATTTTCCTCTAATTCATTCTCACTATTTGTACATCTTATAAGCTTATAGATTATAAGCAGTCGATATTAAAATATTCAACAACAACACAAAATAGCTGAAAGATCATAATAATGATGATTTATCAACATATTGCAATAAAAAATGTAAATAAAATCTAGATTGAATACATAGCTATTTGAAAAAACAATTCTCAGTATTTTTAAATACTTTGGTGTAAGTAAACAATAAAATACTTTATTTTATTAATTTTATTTATTTAAACAATAGGAACTAGATGGTGTGGATCTGGAAATGATGCATCTGACTATGATGATCTAGGAATGTTTTATAAAAGTGATCAGTGTTGTAGAAGTCATGATAGCTGTGCTTTAAGTATTGAAGCAGGAAAAACTCTTGGTCGTTTAATAAATAATGGCATTTTTACAAGGTGAATAAATTAACTATTCAAATAGAATTTTATTCTAGAGTTTTTTAATTACTTTAATTATTTAAAAATGTTTAAATTTTATTCAAAATAAATAATGTTTTTTTATTTATTTTTAGATGAAATAATAGACGTTATATAACGAATAAAATATCTAATTAATTGTTTACAAGAGTGACGAATATTTTATTTTTACTTATTTGATAATTTTGATTTTAATATCAACGAGTGGAGCTGTAAATTTTTTATTACATCAGAATTAATGACTGTAGATAATGATAAGTTTCTAAAAGAATTTTAAAAAAATTAAACTTCCGGAATCAATGTATTTAATGTTTTTAAATAAATATGCTCAAATATAATAATTCAATTTTCAATAATAAAATAAAAATAAGAAAATAGTAATTCGTCAGAATTTAAAGCTAATTATCGTCATATAGACTTGACTATTTTAATAATTCTATTCATTGTAGAAAAAAAATTTCATTTAGTTCTGATAAATTTGTTTGGACAGCATGAAATAATATTAAATGATAATTCTTAAATATCTAAATGTCTAATAATATTTGTTTTTCATTGAATTAACAGATCTGCTTGCTCATGTGACGAAGAATTTTACAAATGTTTAAAAAATATTGGGAGCGTAATTGCTAGAAGCATTGGAGATACTTATTTTAATATTCTTCAACCTCAATGTTTTGCTGAAGAATATCCTATAGAATCTTGTGAACGTTATTCAGGGTAATAATATTTAATTTTTATCTTTAAAAGAATGAATTAATTGATAATGATGATTTATTTATTCGTCTAGGTTCTTCAAAAGAGGAAAATGTCTTCAATACAAGCTAGACACAAGTAAAAATAAAACTCTGGAATGGTTTGATAATCCTACTTTTTAAAAAGAATGCCGACACTGATGACAGTGTTAAAAAAAAAGAAGTCTTCTATTTGGTAAATTATTTGTAACAATACAATGAATTTGTAGAAATATTAATTGTTAAAGATACATTAGGTGGTAATTAAAATATTGAAATTTGAATGAGAAATTATCGATCGTTCATATAATTTTATACAAAATTCAATAATTTACCCATTTCATTATTGTTTATTGGAAATGGATGAAGTCAAGCGGAATGTAGGAAGCATTGTAGAATAACTGATGGGTTTAGCAGTCCAAAGGTGAGGGAAAAATGATTGAATCAAGGGTTTGTAGGAGGGTTTTTGAAGGTGTTAAAAGGATAGGATATTTCGAATTCGAAGGTTAAATGATCAATGAAAAATTTTCTTCAGGAGTAAAAAGAGTTAGATATGGGGCATTGGGAATTCATTCGTAGCTCGTTTTTTCTCTTACTGGTCTATTGAGCCTCGTGAGATAATTTTTTACGAATCATTTACAGAACTTGTCATACTTCTAGAGATCTCCAGCACTATTGTCGATGAGTAAAGTGGAGAAGCCTCGCTTAAGAGGTGTACAAGTGCAGCAGAAATGACAGTACGATCATGAATTGGCGGATGGAAAGAACATAGATGGAATTGATGGAGAGGATATTTAGGAAAAGTCCGCTGATTGTTTTATTATGCTGATTTACTTGACAAGTATCAAGGAGAAAGTATGAGATATGTTGGATAGAATAGGTGGGACATGTGTTTACAAAAATTCCCCTGAAATTGGTCAAATATCTGGAGATGTATTGTCTGATGGTCCAACCATTTCTCTCTTTCCGTACAGCAAAAAGTTCACGAAAGAATCATTTATTTCTCAAGTTAAGATTGTAGCTTTCATCATCGACTGATTCATTTCTAATAAAAAAAGCAACTGCTCATTAATCGATTGAATAGTCATAAATAAAAAGCAAAAAGAAATAGATGATTCAAAAACTGGAGCGATAATATGAATTTAATGTTTTGAATGACATCATCTATATAACGTCGATAGAAAAATGCTTAAGACTATTTGGTGTTCATTATTCCGCTATTAGATCTAAGCTAAGATATGATTTTCCATCAAAAAATTGTCTTCCTAGTATTATCAACGACATTTATATTTCTATTAAATTCTCATACCAGCATGTTAGATCATAAAAAATTATCTAATGATAGCGTAGAAGTGCTATATTTGGACAATGTATCTATCAACGATTTTGAAGTGCTGAAAAATAAAGATTACAATAATACAGTAGTTAAAAATAAACGATCATTAGTGTTTCCAGGTAAGTAATGAATCTTTATTGCACAAATATCAAATTAGTCTAGTCATGTTAATCTTGAAATTGAAATATTTCAGCATGGCTAAAAATAGTGATAACAAAAACCGGGGTATCACTTCAACAAAAAAATTAAATTACCAAAAAACTATTCTTGGTGATTATCTCGTAAATTACAGGAAATACAAATAAAAGTTTTGAATTAAATTTAAAGAACTTTCAATTTGACATAAAAAAGATCTTGAAGTTTCTTTTTTATTTCTCATAATTTAACTCCAAAATAAGTAAAAAGTTGATTTTTACTATTTTCTATCTTTATCATGATTTTGAAGCTAAACTATGAGGAATACGAGCTGAAATCAAGGATTTTTTTGGCAGAATTTTAATTGCTACAATTTTCATTTGAACTTTTTTCCATATCTCTTATAATTAAATGACAAACAACTGGATTCTGAGCTTCTTCACCTGCTGTTCATGATATAAATACTGTTATTAAAGTTGAAAATAATTTAAAGCAACCTCAAAAATACATCTCCAACATTTCAATCTTGATGACTGAACCAAAATAATTATAATCAACTTGTTTCTTTATTTCCTCAGGTACTCTGTGGTGTGGAATTCAAAACGTAGCAGTCTATGATGAAGATCTAGGATTCTTTTCTCTCACTGACGCTTGCTGTAGAGAACATCAACGATGCTCATTCGAAGATGATAGATCTAGTGGTAATGGTCCAACACCTAGGAACAGTGTACCATCAGTTCTTGCTGGTGAACGTTATAAGGGAGAGTAAGAAATGATTTATCAACATCTACCTAGGGTCTTTGAGGACGAGTTAACCGTTAATTAATCATAAGATATAATTAATTAATAGTCAATTAAATTTCAGAGCTATCTGCAGATGTGAAAAGAGGTTTTATCGTTGTCTTCGACGGACTAATACTATCATTTCTCGGAACCTTGGACGCTTGTATTTCAATATCATTCAGAGAACTTGTTTTACTTATGATCATCCAAGCTTGTACTGCGTCAAATATCAAGGGTAAGAAGTTTAATTAATTATAATCATGATTTGTTGGATATTTAATCAAGTTTAATTATTTTTAAGGTTCTTCCGGTTGAGATGTTTGGAGTATGTGGTGAATACTAGTGCTCCGATGGTGATAGAAGAGAGAGATAATCCATTTTTCTTCTGATAAATTTTATGTTCTTATTTTTGTTGATAATTGTAAGCTATACAAATGCTTTTGTTAAGATAGAAATAAAATAGTGATAATTAATATTTGATTTTGGATAAAAAAAAATAATAAATTAAATCAAAATCTTAATCAAATAAAATAATTAATGGATTTTAGTTAAGTGTTTGTGATATTTAATACCAGTAATTTTTGAAAACTATAAATTATAGATAAGAATGTACTGTATATGTCACAATATAAACTGTAAAGTTGAAATATTATTGTAAAATATATTCCAAAGTTCATATTTGTGCTAAAGATATAAAAATAATAAAAATCTGATTAAATTTTTGAACAAAAATGAATTTTTTAATGCCCTTTTCTATCTTTGTTTTTTAAACTAGTTATCAATGGAGTTTAATCAGAATTTTTCAGCATAATTGATAAATATAAAAAATATTCTAGGCTTGTTAAATGTAATTATCAATAATAAAAGAACAATGCTTAATTTTTAAGCTAGAGATAAGACTTAGACTAAGTCCTTTATCTTGTAAACTGTAGGAAAAACAAAAAAAAAGTTTTAAAAAAAAAATAAAAGATTTTTTGATTTTACATAAAAATTGTCCTTAATTTGTTTTCCCTTATCTTTCATGATGTAGTTTTATAAATAATAATAAATGATTCTATTCACTACTTATCAATTTAACCAATTTGTTTACATCCTTTGTGCACCTGCACAAATGAATCACTGCTAAAAAATTAAAACAACTTAATAAAGTATGTCCAAATATTCAACAATTACTTCATGAGTCATTTTTGAATAAGAAAAAAAGATGATTAAACTCAAGAAAAGGTGAAAAACTTCTAATAATGAATCATTTTTAACTAAAGTGTTACTTGCGAAACTTTGTTAACCTTTGTTCACCAAAACTCTAACCTAATTTATTGTCAAAAAAAAAAAATGGACTATTTTAATTTACAAATAAAATTTATTTCTTTGACAATATTTATCTGGTCAATCTATTCAATTTATTTATCACAATCTCTAGTGATTCCCGAAAACAATACATCATTATTAAATATCTCTTACTTTAATGATGACAACTTGATGGAGCTGAATGATACCCACGCACAAAAACGAAGAGAATTAATATTTCCTGGTAAAAATATTGACTTTTTATTATCTAATAAATAAATTCAATACAATACTTTGCGATATTTATTTAATAATTATCTAAAATTACTTGCAGGTACTTTATGGTGTGGCTTAGGCAACGTAGCAGTTTATGATGATGAAGTAGGATTCTTCAGCTACACTGATAGTTGTTGCAAAAATCATGACAAATGTCGTCTTGATGTTTCTTATTCACATAAAAGTAAAATTGAAGGTGTTATTGATTTTTTATTCAAATCAGAGTAAGTTAAATTATTCATTGATAACTAATTCAATTAAAAAAGGGTTACCTGAAGCTAAATATCATCATATATTCTAGCACAATTTGTCCATGTGACTCGGCTTTTTACGTATGTTTACGCAAAGCAAACACTTTTATCTCCAAGACAGTAGGAAAAATATTTTTTAATGTTCTCAGACCCACGTGCCTAACTTTAGATCATCCTATTTTGTCATGTACCAAGTATCAGGGGTGAGTAATAATCGAGTGTCTCATTGATAAGTTAATAAAGTAATATTACAATGATAATTATCTACATTGAGGATGACTTATAAATAATATTAATTAGGTAGGAATATTAAAAAAAAAAATACCAAAAGTATTTTAATTATTGAAAAAATAACTTCATTTATGAGACACTTTAATAATTAATAATTTATCATCAATTAATCATTTAAATTAACAAAATATTTTTTATAGGAAGCTGTTTAGACACCGATGTCTTGAGTATGAGCTTAATACATCAGCACCAATGACGATATATAGGAAAGATAATCCATTTTTTTACTAGAAAATTCTCAAATGAATTATTATTTTATTGTTCTGACAATTCATAATACTTTAAATGAATATTTACTCAGTATTTTTCAATTTTTAATTCAATGCCATTATCCTTGTTTGTAATAAAAGTTATTATTTTTTCAAGTGACGAATTCATCCATTTTTTTTTTTATCATTTTTATGTATGTTCAACATTAGAATTAATTTTAAAAAATATTTAGTGTGGCATATTTCCAGTTAATCGAAATAATTCAATAAAAGAAATTAAATTTAGAAGAAAAAAAAAAAAAAAAATAATTCGTAAGTTATTACAAGTGTTAACTAGTAAATTATATGACAAAGTATTCGGTAATTATAGTTCATTTTTATCAAGATTCAATTGAAATTTGATCAGAATGACGCAATATTAAAAAACATATTGATGATAATAAAAGAAATGTAATAAAGATAACACTTTTAAAGTAGTTATAAACCATAAGCCTATCATTGAAAAATTGTCTTTGTTTAAATACTGACATCTTTGGATATAAAGCCATGAAAGCCTACATGTTATATTCAGTTTTGTTGTAAGCACAGTGAAACGTTGGAAAAAAATAGTGATTGACAAAATGATGCCTTTAAGTTCTTATCAGAAGGTATTATTTATTTCATTATTTTTAATTTTTCTTAAATAAAATTAAGATTCATTTATCTCATCAATTTGAATCAAAATACTAAATTTATCAGAAATTGAGTAATTAAATTGATGAATAGACATTACCCAGAAGATGAATAAATTTTTAAAATAATAGAAAACTAAATATTAAAATAAAATATATTTTATCTTTTAAAGTAAAATTTATTCTTAATAATTATTTATTTTTTTGGCCATTCTTTGGATTAAACACTTTATCAATTTAAACGACTTTAATGGTTAGGATATAATAAGTTCATGCAATTATGGAAGGAATTATCAAAATTTAAGCAAAACAATTACTTTCAATTGTTATTCAATTATTGGTCATTTATTAAATTTATTTAGTTTATAAAAACCATTTGAATCTCAAGAAAAAATTATCATATATAATCAGATCCAATTAAATGCTGAAATTGTCCTGATGAAATTTTTTTTCATTTTTTTTATTCAAATCTAAAAGATGATATAATTTTATTTTATAATAATGATTTTTTATTTAGAAAAAAAGGAAATAAACAATTCTTTTTTCTATACTTTCTGAATATACTGAGTCAACTGACTCTGAAACATACCCCATGCACATCAAACACCTCTCATTGTAGCCAACCTTATCAATATGAATGTATCACAAACTTAACAAGATCTACTTATTGAATCTAAAAACAAATGAATATTTTATTTATTATTTGTATATACATACCTTGGTTATAAACGTGTAATTAACTATTTTATTCACATTCAATTTATTATTAATCTAACCTACAATTTAAAAAAGCGGCAATTACTGGCATTCAAATTTAAACTTCAGGTGTAATCGGCAATGATCGCTCATCTCACCGTACGGTGAGTTTTCGTGCTCGAAAACGCTAATAGATCTATAAAATCAAGTGAGATTAATGTCTAGATACACCCTTATTTACATAAATCATAATATATCTACAAAGATTTAAGTTGAAAGATTAAAGTTGATGTTTGCAGAATAAAGTAGATCCAATTGTGTCAAAAATATATATTTGAACAAATCTGTGTAGTTTTATTTTCTTTTTTCACGAGCAATTAATTTAAGATTTGAATAAATTGGAACAAAAAAATCAAGAAGACTTTGAACTTATAATAAGTCTTATTATTTCTAAAACTAGAGGTTATCAAAGAACGCTCAAGTACATTAGAAGCAAATTCGATCAAACTTAATAATGATTGATCAGAAAATCGGTTGATTAATTAGTATTCCCTAGTGGAAATATATCTACAATAAATTTTGAAAGAATTGTAATTCATTACAAAAAAAAAAATCTACATCATTCAATGACGCTCAACAATTTTTGATATTTCTGATACAAATGTAAAAGCTCGACTCTAAAATCCTAACACGTAGTTTGTATTCTTTCATAAAACACCAGTTTTCATTAACATTGTCACTGGTTTGCCATTAGCTTTTCATCATCTCGGTGCTATGTGCTGTATGGATGAGTTCATCAGCTGCTCCAGTTGATGATTCAGACAAACCTATCACAGTGTTGGATGAAATAGAAACGATGCCCTCTGCTGATAATAACTCAACGTACACCAGAACCAAAAGGTTCTTTGACCTTGAGCTCTTTTTGGCTCGACAAGGTAAAATTTAATATCAGCTATAATTTAAAAAATTCACTTTTAAATAAATAATGCTTTTTAATTTTTGTACAGGTACTAACTGGTGTCTCGACAAAACAACTGATCCTGATAGTAGAGTTTCCCTTGGTAAATTCGCTCAAGCAGATAAATGTTGTAGAACCCTTGTTCGATGTACCAGTAATGAACAGGATATCCTTACTGAGAAATATCCAACAAAAAGCAGAGAACTAAGGTAAGAAAATATCTAGACAAAAAAAAACATTTACTAGCTTCATACCATAGATATTAATTTGTTTTTCATTTACTGTTGAATTATTTAGAGGTGAAACTTTTCGATCGTGCGTCTGTGATGATGAATTCAGAAGATGTTTAAATGATGTGGTAGTAATAACTTTCCCAGCCAATAGCATCGGAAAATACTATTTCAATCACCTTTCACGCACATGTCGAAATGACGTCCTAGATCTAGAGAATAATCGTGCATATTAGATGGATTTTATAAAAAAATCATGTTATCAATAAGGTAAAATATACAATCATTGGCTACATTATTGTTTTTTTCAATAAATATAAAAATTTAACTTATGTTTATTAATTTATCTTATTGTTATAATCATTTTTAATATTATTCATTATTTTTTTTTTATTTTATTTTTATTCATTGCCTTTATTTATTTCTTAATTAACACTAATCCATAAAAGTAATCTAAATAGACGCAATAAATTCCGAAATAATTCTTTATATTTTTCTTTATTTCTAATTCAGGAAGTATTTTAAAACATCAATCTCAATCAATTCCTTTCTTTTTTTTTTTAACTCTATGAACAATGAAAAAATATTTTTATTTGTTGAAAAATGACTAGATCTAATTGGATAAAATGAAATCTATCTTGATCTAAGCAAGTTTAATTTGTTTATCTTTTTAGTCCAATTCGATCTGATATTTTATTCCTTAAATAATGGATAAAAATAAGCTGCGCTAAAATAAAAAAAGTTAAAGAATATTTTTAAAAAAATCAAGTATGTTTCAATGTCTTTAATTAATTAATTAATTTCATTATATTGTCCCTTCTGAATATAAACAATTTATAAATTTATATATTTATCTTCTCAGATTTAATGCAATTCGATCAGATTTAAAGATCATATGATACAGATCTGATTCAACATAATTAGATTTGAGTTTTATTGAAAGTAGACAATTGAATTCATTTAACATATATTCCTCTCTTGATGACATGTTCAATCGTTTTTGGTACCATTGTGATACAATCAATGATTGGACAAACAGAAAGACATAAAGTACAACCGGTACAATCATCATTGACTTTTGGAATATGAGTATCAGCATCAAATTCGATGGCTTGATATCCTGAATCAGCACAAGCCATGTAACATTTACCACAATTAATACACAAATCATCATCAATTAACGCAACAACTTGTTTTTTATTATCCAAAGCCTTGTAATCACCAATATATTGAAGTGACTTTCCAATAAAATCTTGAATTCTTGGTAATTTTATCTTCTCTTCAGAATTTCTATCAACTTTATCATCACAATTTTCCTTTGATAATAGACTCAGTGGATCAGATCTAGCTTTAATCTCTGAAATTTTCTTTTCTCGTAGAAATTGATATTCTCCGAAATATGGTACATGACTTCCAAGAGCATGAATAGATAAAATTTTACCTTTTTGATGTTTAGGAGTGGGAGGACTTTGTCCATTCCAATTTTTAGTTTGTTCTAAAGTTGATAAATACATTAAAGCTTTCAAGCCAGTTACGTAATCATCAATAAGAGTGAAGTCTTGGTTCTGGATGGCACTTCCAACTTGAAGAACAGAAGCACCACAGTGAAGAAACTGTAGAGCAACATCAGCTGAATCAATACCTCCAATACCAAGAATTGGAAATCCAGGTATTTTCTTAGCAATTTTAGAAATGGCTCGAAGTGCTTGTGGTTTGGTAGCATTTCCAGAAACTCCACCATAAGTTGTTGATTTAGAAGTTCCAACAGCTGGCCATGGTTCTCCATTTGCTTTTAAACTCATCAAACCTGAAACTGTATTGATAGCTGAAACTCCACTGGCTCCACCTTCATATGCAGCCATTGCAATCGCGGTGATATCAGTAATGTTTGGTGTGAGTTTGATAAAAAACGGGATTTTTACTGCTTTCCGAACCCATTTAGATATTTCCCGAACCAATTTTGGGTCTTGACCACACGCTAGACCCATTCCTGATTCACCCATACCATGAGGACATGATAGATTGAGTTCTAGAGCATCAGAGCCTGCATTTTCGGCCATTTTTGCGAGCTCTATCCAGTCTTTTTCATTAAAAGCACACATGATACTAGCGATAACTACTTTAGTAGGGAAATCTTGCTTCAATTCAGCAACACTTTGGCACCAATAGGCTGCAGTTTTTTCGGAAATCAGTTCAATATTCAAGAAGCTACCTTGCTCAGGACCATAATGATGACCTGAAGTCGTCCCACGAACGATTCTTGGTGATACATTGGTCACTTGGTCTTTGTCTAGAGCAAAGGTTTTGGTCACTGCAAAGGCCCAACCTTCTTCAAAAGCTCTTCGGATCATAGCACTGGTTGTCGCAGGTGGTGCTGATGCTAAACCAAATGGGTTTTCGAATTTAATACCACAAACTTCAATACTAACATCAACATCATCAACAGGACTATGGAATTTCGGCAATTGTGGTATTTCAGGTGTAGAAAGTCCATGTAATTCTTGAATATACTTATGAATAGACCACGCTGCTGTTTTCCCATCATTTACTGATTCAACAGTAGTCTGGGCTACACCAGCAAGATCACCACCGCAAAAAATTCCCGGTTCTGATGTCGCCATTGTAACTTCATCAACTTCAGGCAATCCCCACTTGTTGAATTTGATTGGATGCATGGCATTTTTGGTATCAAGGTCGTACAAACTTGATCCAAATGCCGAAATAATGAAATCTGCTTTCAGTCTGATTATCTGATCTTCATCTTCAATCCAATTACCATCATCTTGTTGCTCTGTTCTACAAAATTCAATAGCTACTATTTTATTCTGCTTTATAATGACTTTTTTCGGTGAATGAAATGGTATAAATTCACATTTTTCTTCTCTAGCAACTTCCATTTCCTCAGGAACAGCTCGGATATTTGTAAATCCTTTTCTAAATACCACAAATACTTTTTTAGCACCACATCTGAATGCTGAAGTGGCACAATCAAATGCCGTATCTCCAGCACCAAGAACTACTACATTACCATAAAGTGAAGGAAGTGATGACGAACATAAACACATACCGGCTTTGCTACCTTTTGATACAGCAGGTAAAAATGTTTTAGACGTAAAGAAACCCATTTCGGCAGTTAATTCTTGAAAAATTGGTGCTATTTTAGCTTCTGGTAAACCGATACCTAGAAAAATAGCTTGATATCCTGTTTGTTTCAGCTTGTCAATCGTCAAATCATTCATAGAAAGTGATCGATTACACTCAATTTTCACACCAAGATCTTGAACCAACTTAACTTCAAAGTCTACAACATCAAACGGAAGGCGATATTGTGGTATTTCAGATGAACTTAAGCCTCCAGTAAAACTATCTTTTTCAAAAATCGTCAGATTATCGTAGCCCAATCGTGCAAGATATGTAGCACATGATAGAGAAGCTGGTCCACAGCCTAATAGAGCTATTTTAGTGTTTGAAAATGGAACAAACTGACCTGGAATCCTCGTTTGTTTGATATTCATCTTCTTAAACATTTCCACAGCAAAGTGTTGAAGACCTCCAATGTTAATAGCACCTTCTTCAGTAGCTGCCAAATTACAACCTCCTACACAAAGGTCACTCGTTGGACAAACCATTCCACAAGTTAGACCCAGAGGATTGTCCGATAGAATGGTCTTAGCTGCACCATAGTAATTCTTATTTGATATCGAAGTTATAAAAGACTTGACATCAATTTGTGTTGGACATGATTTAGTACAAGGAGCATCAGCACATTTAAGACATCTTGATGCTTCTTTTAGTGCTCCTCTTTCACTTAATGTTGTATGTTTAATATCATCAAAGTCATTCTTCAAACAGGGCCCACATTTCAGGCTATTGTTTCGCTTCCAGTGTAATTTATTTTTCTTTGTTGATACTGAAGGTACCAGGGCTGCATGGGAACGCACCTTTGGATTGATTTTTAACAGATTCTAGAAATAAAAAACAAAGCTGATATTAAATCAAATATTGAACAAAGTATTTTTAAACATCTCTTCAGGAAGTGAAAAAATTCTTTTTTATTTCAATAAACATCTTGACTAATTGTAAGATAAAAAACATCAAGTCTAGCATACCAAATTGGTTCAAATTGCACTGGAATTTATTCAAACACTTTAAATATTCCTATATGAACATGTCAATTTATCACATAAGCTACTGTCAAGATCACTACTGGTAATTTAATCTGGTTTGAAAGAATTCAAGAAAACTGTATGATTCAATCGATCTATTGAGTAAATAATTTTAAAAATTAGCTTTAATTGCATTTACTCACCTCAATATCTGGTAAATCTTGACTAACTCCCTTATTCAACGCCATTTTTCTAGTGTAAAATATGTTTTGTAATAATCTTATTGCATCTCACTGATATCAGGCATTCTCGTAACCTACTTAACGCCTTGTCCACTCCTCTGTATGTCAAATCATCAAGAAAGAACATATTGGGAACATGGAGGGGGATTTAGCAATATATGCAGACTTATACATTAACACTTTCTCTTATCAACAAGTAGTACCAACGTCATATATTCGTTCATTATTATCTACTGTTTTATATAAGTTTATCAAATTCAGTAAATAAATCTATCAGATTCATTTAGAAAATAAATTAAATCATTCATTCAATTGAGCAATAAAAATAAAAACAATTGGAAAAAAATATGAATATAAAAATTATCTATTGTAGAAATAAACAATGATAATATATTTTAAAAACATCAGAATAAATAATTTTATAAAAAATATTACTTGTGTTTATTTGTCATTGAAAATAATTATTCAAACCCTTGATGCAATCTAAAGAGCTTCAATAAGAACACCAATTCCTTGTCCACCACCAATGCAAGCTGATCCAACAGCAAATTTCCCTTTATTTCTTCGTCTAAAGCATAATATTGAAAATAATGTTATAATATGTCATGAATGTTTGATAACTTTAAGCATCAAAAATGATGATTACCTTAATTCATGAATAAGATGAGCAGTGATACGAGTACCAGAAGCTCCAAGAGGATGACCAACAGCAATAGCACCACCATTGACATTGAGTTTCTCCAGATCAAGGTTAAGATCTTTAGCACAAGCCAATGTTTGTGCTCCGAAAGCTTCATTGATTTCTACCAGTTCTAGATCATTCAATGTTTTGTTGGTGGATTTTAAAAGAGCTTTGATTGCTGGTGCTGGACCAATTCCCATTATACTTGGATCTACTCCGACTGTTGTATAAGCTACAAGTCGTGCTAATGGTTTTAAGTTGTTTTGTTTTACTGCTTCTTCACTGGCTAGAATCACTGCTCCAGCTCCATCACAAATTCCCTACAATTCATAGACATTATCAATTAGAATCTGATCATTGAATCTTTCAGATACAGTAAATAGAGAATATAAGTAATATTTGAATCAACGAAATAAGTAAAAAATGAGTTGAATATTTACTGATGAAGATCCAGCAGTAACAAGTCCATTTTTCTGGAATATCGTTGGCAATTTTTGCAAATCTTCCATCGTTGTTTGTGGTCTAGGATGTTCATCAACTTTAACTACCACCTCTTTCCTCTTAATATTAACAGTAACTGGTGCTATTTCTTCATTAAAATAACCAGCATCATTAGCAACTTTCCAGCGTTGCTGACTATTCAATGCAAATGCATCAACTTCTTCTCTTTTAACTCCATACTTGGCTCCCAACTTCTCAGCTGTACCTCCCATTGGTAAATTACAATAACTATCAGCTAATCCTACCCACAAAGCATCCTCAAAGTCATACTTCATCCCTAAAACAGTCCCAAAACGAACATTCCTTACAAGGAAAGGCACTTGACTCATATTTTCAGCTCCACCTGCAAGAACTATTTGTGATTCTCCAACTGCAATACTCTGAAAGTTAGAAAAACAATCATTTACATATTTTAAAACGAACATGACGATAAATTTCTAGTTAATAATAATATACCTGTGCACCATTAACAATTGATTGAAATCCTGATCCACATAATCGATTTACTGTTAATGCAGGTTTCTCTAATGGAATTCCAGCTTTTAAAAGGACATGTCTTGATAAAAGTGCACCATCAGATGCTGTTAACTATTATAAAAATGATAAAATTAATCAATAAAAAATATTTTTAATGAATTATTAATTATTTTTAATGCAATTTTACTCACTGGCATAACATTACCAAAAATAACATGATCTATTTGTTCTGGTTTGACACCTGATGATTGTATTGCACTTGTTGCTGCTACAACTGACAAATCTGTTGCTGTTTTGTTCAAAAATACTCCACCCATTTTACCAAAAGGTGTTCGTTTTGCCGCCACGAAATAAATTCCTACATAAACAAACCATGATTATTACTTTAATGTTAAAATTAACCTAAAAAAAAATTAATTAAATATTCAATACCTTTAGTAATCACAGACATGTTTTTTTTTTTTAATTATTTAACAGTCTTATTGTTGATTTAAATAATAAAAATGATGACTTTTGATCGTGATACACAATATGAAGGTTTTACAGCTGATTATTCTGATCTTCACTAGACGTTCTACATTTAAAACTCGTCTTTCCCCACTCCAATGTCATCACAAAAGGACTTTGAACTTTGCTCTGACTATATGTATATTAATGCTAATTCATTCCTGATAAATTAATTTTCATGCAATGGAATTGATTTATAAACAATTTATATCATTTATTAAGACAAAAATTTTTAATTATGACAATACTTATTGGCAAATAAATATTTAACATAACCAAAATTAAATTTTTATTTTCATTCATTGAATTATTGGAATAGAATAAATCTTTAATGAACTAATAAATGGTCTATTAACAGATTTGTTTTTTTTTTTATTAATTAATATTTATAATATACTGTATCAATAGTTTAAAAACTATTGAAATATTAATATTAATTACACAAACTTACTGTTAACTATAAAAAAATATGTTCAATGAAGTAAAAAATCCCTACATATTATTAAATCATTTAAACTTATTTTCAAATTTACATCAAAATATATTTAAACTATAAAAGAATAAAATTAAAATTCTTTAAGAACAAAAAATGTAGAGACTTTTTTCTTTTACTTTTTTTCATATTATTCAAATAATCAAATAAATTAATATTTAGGACAATTATTTTTTTTTAATTCAACAAAACTATTTTTTTTTCCCCCCTAAATTGTATTCTTTTTTCATTGAATATAACTAATAATCTATTTAATAGTTTGAAAATTTTATTTTTAAATCACTTATTATGTTTTTATTTATTTGTATTCATCACGATCTTCTGTATAAATAAAATTTGTTTCACTAATTCCAGCATGCCGAGCACAATCTATTCCTTCTAGAAAATTAGTAAACATCTCTTCAGCATATTCTTCATTGCTAAATGTTACTTTAAGTTGCCGTTTACGAGGTGGATTAACAGCTTCATCTACTGCAGTCCATAAACATTCATTTTTCTCACGCTAAAACCAAAAAATAAACAAACATTAATAACAACTTCACTTTAAAATAATGATAAAAATTTTAGAATTATTTTAAATACTTCATTAAATCTTATTAAATCTGATTATCAATCCTAGGTAATTAATTAATAATCTTATAAGACATATCATACCTGACATAAAGATTCTGTCGTGATGAAACAATGACTTATCACTTCACCGCTATCAGTAACAAACATAATTCTTGCTCCAAATAAATCATGATCATAAACTATCCTAGCTTGACCATTTTTATCAAAGACCCATGAATCTCCTTCTAGATAAAATAATGCTCCTGGTCTATCAAACATAAAGCTACTTTCATCTTCTTCTATTTCATCAGCTCCATTATCATCATATGATGGATCATTAGTCAATGAAGCTGATTCATAGTTTGACCAATCTTGAGTCTCATTATTAGTTTCAGTCTTTTTCTTTAAATAAAGTTTTGCATTCTCTACTGCAGTTTTGAATTCATTTGCTATTGTTAGATTCTTGAATTTTACAGCTAACTTTTCAGCAACATGCTCATTGTCAACGTAATTCATTCCAGCCCACATCCAGCTACGATCTGATGCTGTTAAAGTTTGCATATCGAGATCTGCAGTTATTAAGAAATTGCATACGATTTTATGGACCTAGAAAATGAACATTTTATTAATCAATTAGACAATAGGATATATGGAGAATAGTTTCAGATAAAAAGTAAAGATTATGAAGATCATTTCAGAGATAAACTATGATGGGATAAAGTCTAAGGACCTTTTTTTGTTCAAAATCAAAATTAAATAGACTGAAAAAAATTAAAAGCTGCATAGAATAACTTGAATGTTCTAGTAATTACCTGTTCTCTACGTAGAAGAAGCCGGTAAGTTCCTTGTCCAGCATGATATAGTACCTTCATTTCTCCAACTCCACGTTCTTTCCACTCCTTAGTCTCATCTTCATATCGGTAAAGCTTAGCTCTATGACAAAAGACTTTTTCTTCATCCTCTTCTCCAGTTTTTACTTCAATAGCATCAGGAAGAGGAATAATTGGTTCATAATGAGGATCATATTCCTCTTCATCATCACCACCTTTTTCTTCTGTTTCTTCTTCCTCTGTTGTTTTTACTTCATTTTGCTTTTTATCAGGTGTATTTTTAACTGGAGGTTTAGCTGAACCAAATACCGATTGTCCAGCACCAGCAAATACAAAGTTTGGATCTGTTTTAAATTCTACTGGTTCACCAGCTTTCGCTGCTAAACTTGAAAATGTTGCAATATTATCAGTGTTTAAAAATCCTTCATTTTTAAATGATGAAGCAGTACTGCTTGTTGACATTGATCCTCCAAAGATTGATGGTTTTGATGCTTCAGTTGTTTTTTGAGCATTACCAAACCAAGATATAGCTGATCCAGCAGCATTTTTAGTAAAAGCATCACTTTTACCAAAATCTACAGTTGTTGAAGGGCTGCAAATCGTTAAATTTCCAAGATTAGAACCACCAAAGATGAAATTTTTATCAGTACTGGTGGACGTGGTTGTTGGTGTTGAAAAACTAAAACTATTAGACGTTGGTTGACCACCAAAAATCGTTGATCCAAAGGAGAAAGGTTTGGCAGCTGCTTGACCAAAGACATTTTCAGAGGTTGATGTGCTAGCAAAAGCAGCAGTGGTGATAGCAGTGGTGGCAGGAGTAGCAGTAGTGGTTTTAAAGAGTGTTGAAAAACCTGTAGATGTATTTGATGATGCTGTGGTAATTGATAATGAAGAAGTATTCAGCTTAGGTGGTGCTAATTTGATACTAGCTGATGGTGTGGTAATAGTTTTAGACTCTTTAGGACCATCAAAAAGTGGTACTTCTGGCTCTCGACATCCTAGACAACCCGGACAATCTTTTTTCTGTTTATAAGAGTAGAAATTTTCAGGTAATTTTAGTTTTAAAGCTTCAGCTTTTTCCTCAGGACTCACTGTTAGTTCATAGACTACTTGAAGATCTTCAGGTGACTCTGTTTTGTCAACCTTCACTGATGCATCAACATCAATATTAGCTATTGCATTGTCAACAGCACTCTTAAACTCTTCAGCAATCTCTGAAGTCTTGAACCTACAAGCAAGTTGGATATATTCTATTTCACCATCGCTATAATCAGCAGCATGCCATACCCAAGATTTGTCATCTTTCGGAGATATTTCGAGTTCTTTGGTCACAAAATGGTTTAGACAAAGCTTCAAGGTTTGTTCTCGACGCATGACTAATCTTAATTTAGAAGTTTCTTGGTGTTTAAGAAGCTTTATATCACCAAGACCACGTTCTTTCCATTCCTTTGTGTTAGGATCATATCTAAAGAGTTTAGCACGATGTTGGTAGAGAACTGTTTCATCTTCTTCACCAGTTTTAACTTCAATTTTATCAGGAAGTGGAATCACAGGAGGGAAATAAACATCTTCACTCTCTGCTACTTCATCTTCGCTAACTTCACTAACAGCACTAGTGTCTAGTGCTTTTGGTGGTGATTTAGATGGCCATTGGTAGCCAAAGGTCATCCGCGGTGAACCAGGATTACCAAAATTAAATGTACTTGGAGGATTTTCTATTTTTTGGGCATTTCCAAATACAAATTCTTTTGATTGTTTTGATTGATCTACTTTTTCACCTTCTTTAGTAGATTCAGGTTGCTTCGTTGATGGTTTAAATATAAGTCCAGTATTTGTTTGATCTGATCCAAATGAAAAAAGGCTTGAAGATGATGTAGTTGTTGAGAAAGGTTTTGTTTGAACTTTGTTTACATCGGTTGATGGTGGTTGCGATACTGCTGGGGGTTTTGAAGAACCAAAGACAAATGTTGATGTCGGTGCTGAATCTTGAGAAGTAGAATTTTTCGGTATTCCAAAAGTAAATGTTGAGGTGCCAAAGCTATTACTCTTAGCTTTACTCAAATCACTAGCTGGCTTAAATAACTGTCCAGTTGAAGGCTGATCATTGGTACTTGAAGTTGTTGCTGAAGGAGCTGTACAAGCAACACAATTTGACACTCCAGCATTATTTCTAGTATAACAGCTTCCACATTCCCAGGAACCTGGGGCAGGTTTAAACATCTCAGATAAAGGTTTAGTAGTAGTTGTTGATGCTACTTGATGATTTCCTGTTGCTACAGATACGGTTTTATGCTTTTTAGTGATATTTTCCAAAGGTATTTTATTATCCACCATTAATTTCTGTAGTGAAGTAGTTTTTTCAAGAAAATCAGTTGCAATAGCAACATTAGCAAATGATGCAGCATAATTTTCTGTTTTTCCAGAAGCTGTTGATTCTGTCCAAATCCAACAAATGACATTTGGAGTTTTATTTCCCGCTTTAAAAATATTATTTTTAGGTAAAACACAATTTAATAGTGGTTTAGAAGCATCTTTTTGTTGGAATTTTAATCGAAGTTGTCCAGTTTTAGTATCTAGAATTAACATTAGTGATCCAATGCCACGATTTTTCCATTGAGAAGCCTCTATTGATGATATGAGACTTGTAGTGGTTTCGAAGAGCACAGCTTCATCATTATCACCAAGAACACCACCAATTGCTTCCGTATCAGATGGACTTGACGATGATATTGAGTAAGGACGTCTAAGTGGTTGTTTAGCTGATGATGAATCGACAGAATTTGTTGATGCACTTGTAGTAATTGTTGAATCAATTGTTGATGATTTCACATCGGCTGTGGTTTTACCAATTGCATTAAACGGTGTCGAAGCTCCAACAGGTTCAACCGTTTTATTAAAACTAAACGAAGCAAATGGAGATGGTGCACTTGGTTCTTCAGCTTTCTTTGGTACAGAATCAGTTGACGGTGGTGTTTGAACCATTGGTTTCGATGAAAACGAAAATCCACCCATCTTGAAAGATCCTTTAGCTTCAGGTTTTTCAGCTTCTTGTGAAGTTTTTTCAACTTTCTTAGATTCTGTAGCATCTTTTACAACCACTGGCACTGATTTCTTTGCCTTATCAAAGTGTTCCTTAAATGATTGAGCCTCTTCAACAAGCTTAAACTTAATACAAAGTTTTTCTAATTTTATTTCTTCATCAGCGTAATCATTAGCAGCCCATATCCAAGCTTTATCATTATTTGACATTGCTGAGAGTTCCATATCTGGTGTTAGATTATGATTGGCACATATTTTTAATACTTGATCACGTCTCATTAGTAATCTAACTTTTCCTTCATTATTTTTAAGTAATTTAACATTACCAACACCTCTTTCTTTCCATTCTTTATCAACAAACCTGAAGAGTTTAGCTCTAGCACAAAATAGCTCTTCTTCATCTTCTTCTCCAGTAGTGACTTTAACCTCTGCTGGAAGAGGAATCACCGGCATGAAGTCAGGAATTGGATCATGTTCAACTTCAGCATCAATAGAACTATTGTGTGATGTGTTGGATACAACACTAGCATTTTTATCTACAACAGTTGGTGATTTGGAGGCTATTGTGTTGGTTACTGGATTGAAAATTGATGGAATGTTGACAGTAGTTGGAACTGCTGCTTGGGAAGGCATTAAAATCTGATAATTATGTGGAGCACTAGTAGTGACAATTGGCTGGATATTGGTAACTGGAACTCCTGCTCCTCCTGTTGAGCTTACATTACGATGGTGCGGTGGAATTACAACACTTAGAACAGGTTGAACACTTGGTGCACTTGTTGGTAGAGTATCAGAACTTGTGATCACTACATTCACTGGTGGAGATTTATTGACAAGAGTATTCTTGATGGTTGTTGTTACTGGTGGTTGAATAGTTGTTGGCATCATTCCGGTTATTGTTGTTGTTGGCATGCTGACCACTGGAATTGTTGGTGGTACTAGTGGAACTGTTGCTCCAGTGTCTAGAAAATTTATAAAAATTATTTTAAAATTAATAATTAAATTTTTTTCATTCAACAATAAATTATTGTTATCACAAAAAAACCAAATAAAAATAAGCTATTTACGTGAAATGATATGAAAGAAATTTTTTCGACACTGAAAAATAACCTCTTCATATTTCTTTAATTTGAATGTCATCAAAAATCCAAATAAAACAAAAGAGGTGAAAAAAAAATATCCAACTCAATACTTACTTCGAGTAAGATCTAAACTTTGTGATGAAATATTAGCTTGCATTTGTGGTTGTTGTTTTGGCGAAACCAAATCCGAAAACACTGGCATCGATCTAGAATTAAATAAATTAGAAGTAATCATTCCTTGTTGAAGCATTTCTTGCATTCTAGGAACTCCTAGTGCTTGTTCATTAGCTCTAGGATACAACGGCGGTATCTGATAAACATTTGGATAAAATGATTGCAACGATTGTTGAGTATAATCAGTATAAGGTAATCCTTGATAATAAGCACCATGTTGTGGTGGTGTTGGATAGACTAGTGATGAATATGATGGCCTTGGTGGGAAAATTCCACCAGGAATATGTTGAGTTGGTATAGTAGGTGCTGCTGGAGTCACTGGAGTAACATTATAATCTTCTTCATAAATATAAGTTTCATCATCAAGATTATTCCTACTAGGAGAAGCAACTTTTCGTTTCGATACAAATTCTTGTCGAAATTCTGCAAAATCTTTCTTCCATTCTTCTTTGATTTTCATAAAATTTTGCACTATTGAGTCATTCATAGTCTTAAAACTGTTAACCAGATCCAATACAGTATGATTCATGTTATGAATATCATAAATCACCTGTCTAATTTGAGCATCTATTCTTTCAGGACTTGGTCTAGCTTCTTGAACTCCCACTTGACTGAGTCTTGTTGAGTTCATTTCACTACTAAGTCGACGTGGAGTCACTCTATTTTTCTTTAATGGTGTTACAACATTTATCGTACTTACTGAATGATTCATCAATCCTGAAACATCATGATTTTCATCAATTTCATTCTCATTACTGACTTTAAAAATCAAATCCTCAACATTGGCTATTTTCGTGTTAATTTCAGCATTCAATGGATGTCCAGGATTTGTTGAAGGACATCGTAATCTATCCAAAGTCAAGTAATAACAATTTTTAGCTTTGATTAGCATGATAGAGTATTGATCCTTGATTCCAGCAGGCATAGTATCATCAGTATAAGGTTGGATAAGTTCTTCCGCAAGCAATTCATACACTTCACCTTGATAAAATGAAGCATCTGGACTTTTAAGTTCTTGCAATAATACTAGAGCATGCTCATAATTCTTTTCTCCAATGTGTTTCTCAGCAATAACCAGTTGTCCTTCTTCCAATGCTTTTCTAAGCTCAGCATGATTAGGCTCTTTTTCAGTGTAATTAAAAATACTATCAGGCATCATACGTACTAGATGTTTCTTCAACAGACTTTTAATCAGAGGAATTGCCATTGACCAATAGAGTTCAGCACGGTCAAGTATAAAACGTGAATTCGGATGATTTTCAGATACTTCTTGTAAATGTTTACCTCTGTAAGTAAACATTCTGCCTAAATGTATTAAAATATTATAATGAAGACCATTAGTTCTGATACAACGAATAATTTCTAGACCTTTTTGTATCTCCATACGAAGTTCAGTCATATCTCCAATTAATTCATGTCTTTTATTATGAATTTTATAAGCTGAAGACCACCATTTAGCTTGAACAGTCGAGCACAGAGAATCAGTCAAGTCTGCTGGAAGAATTAGCATTCTATCTGGATTTAAAAGTCCACTTTTTGCTTGATCATTAGTGTCTTTTAATGAGCATAAAATAGTAGAATTTAAAAACACATCTAAGTCAAGAATACTAAGGCTTTCAGCAGAAGCAACTGTGAGATTGTGAACAGAATATTGAAGTCCAGGGAATACAGTAGTGTGTTCATTAGGGCAAGGTTCTTTATCGGTTTCTTTCTTCATATTCTTGTTTAATACTCCAAGCCAGACTAGATGATGAAGTGAATCGGGATAAATTTGTTTGGCTACTTTATCAAATTCTTCAAGTTCTGTTGGTGACAGTAGTCTCAATGGTGGATTTATAGCAGTATTATTAACAAAATACGAAGTCTTGATAATTTTTTCGCTATATCTACCAGCGAATATCTTTCTAAAGATCTTTTCACGCCAAGAATCAGTCATACATTCACTGATTTTATCCATCAACCTAAGAGAACGATTTCTACAATACTCTGTGAGTACATGGCCAGCTTGACTGCATCGGTAAGAACCTTCTTTATGCCACAAAGATGCTTGACCTTTCATAGTAAAGCCCCAGGATGCTTCTGGATCAATGACAGTTGAATGAATAGCTGTTAGGAATAATGGACAACATAATCTAACTGTTTCCCTCCAAGTGGTGATTTCTTTTTTAGCTAATCTGAGCCATAGACAACCAAGATGGTAATTGAACTGCCCCCACATATGATTAAACATCTGCAGTGCAAGGTTTGTATCTTGAGCATCATCTATTTTACTTTTAGCTTCAAATAAAACTTGATCGAAATTTAATAAAATCTGCATTGCTTCCGGGACATTTTTAGCTTTTCCTCCATACTCTGATAGTGAAAGTGCTGCATATCTTTCACTAGCTGTTACCAGAAATACCCAGAATGACCATTTCAGGTTCTTACATTCCTTCATTTTTGTTAGTAAATCATAAACACACTCGTACCAAGTTAAACTTTGATGATGAGTATAAGTACATTCTACTTCAACTGCATGTTTGTATGCATCTTCAATTCGTCGTTTACTAATATAATATTTTATTAATTTAACACGAAGATTGACATCCGTTGGTCTGACTGATATTTCAGAGTTTATTAAGCCCTCGAGATCATTGTCACCAGATCCATTGTTGGTAATCATTTTTTCTTTCAATTTGAAGACAACTGGATGATCCGGATATTTTTCAACTAAAAAAAAAATGTTTTTAATCATGTTAAATTATTTTTAAAATATTAAGTAAATAAATCAAAGTTATTTAATTTTTAAATTATTTCAATAATTATTTATTAATATTTTAATTATTTTATTTATGAAAAAAAAAATAATAAACTCTGATGAAAAAAATATTATTTTTTAAAATTCAATTCTGTTGTTTTCAACATTACTTTTCTCTTTCATAATCAATAATTAATAATATTCTCTCCAATATAATAATAAATTTGACATTTATTTTTTAATAAGAAAAACTTTTCAATAAATCATTGTAATAAAAATAATAAAAACTGTTAAATAATTTGTGAATTAAATGCAAAAATATTTTTCATATTATTCATAAATCGTTATTGATTGTTTTAAATATATATATATATAAGATATCTTACCAGCTCTTTCCACCCAGTACTGAATTTTCGAAGAATCTGCACTGATGCTTTCATCCACAAGCAGCTCGCAAACTTTAAGAATCAAATCATCCTGACGACCATCAAGTTGTAGTGATTGTCTATATTCCTCTAAAGCTAACTCCTTTTGTCCAAGTGCTTCATACGATTGCCCTAATAATTTATGTGCTGGAGCAGAATCTTCCTTGATCTTCAAGTATTCAGAAACATACTTTCTTGCCAATTCATACTGCTCTACTTGGAAATACAGCTTGGCAATGCTATAGCATCTGAGACTTCGCTGAAAAATAGAAAATTATTAGTTAAAATGTTATTATTTAAGAATAATTGTATTTACAATTTTTTGTTAATTATCGTTAGCTAGGTTATTTAGGACATTAGATTGACCTTGGAATGCTATTAGGATAGCATTGGGTCAAGTCTGATAGCGGGAAATGACTTTTGATGCAAAGTTAAAAAAAAATCATATAATTAATAGATAATATTGAATTTTGGAGGTTAGGAATAATAAATAAAAGCTAAATAATTGAACACCGGCATGCAATTGTTAATTAATTTATGAAAAATAAAGAAAAAGGGCGTCATACTGCTCATAACCTTACCTCACGTTCATCACGAATTTTTCGGAATACTTCATCCCGATGACGATCAACTGAAACTTTAGACTGAAACATTTTTGTAAGTTAGAAATAAAATTTCATTGATATTAATTGTGTTAAACTATTTTATTGTATTTGGCAATAATTTTATAACGTTTGCACACTTTTAAATACAAGTAATTCACTTCAACGGCTTTGATGCACACACGAACTCATTTCTCGTACTCCAAGACACTAATTTTTCAAATGGCGGTTTTTCTCAATAGAAGCGTCGCAATTTAGTTATCATCGAATCCAGTAGGTGTCGCCACAATAATATTCTTATTTTTTCTTTCCTTCAAATTATTAATTATCCTTTTGTTGTTTGCTAATTAATTATGCTTTAGAAACTTAGTAAAAACATAAAAATATGTTCGAATGATCAATATAATAATTATTCGTAAAGGTTAAAAGAATATTTTACATTCAGGTGTACTGTATATATTTTTTTTCATTTAGAAAAAAGAAAATGGCATGAAATATGATATGATTCATACAACCTTGACAAAATGACTTTACATCAGTCTTTATTTTCGAAATAATCGAAACGAAAAATGATTGCAAACACAAATTATGTACATACATCATGAAGACGATAATAGGTTAGATGGTTGATTAATTTATTTTTCAAAAGCTTATAAATACAAATAGAGTTTAACTGAATTTATTTAGAGTTTATCAAAAATTCGACAATTAACAATTTATTGAACTAATTTAAAATTCTTGCCAGATTGATTAGAAATAAAAAGTGATGATCTCTGGTGAGTGATACTTCAATACTCAAATGCCACATTGACATGTAACCTAAAAAATACATTTGGCAAAAGTATTATCGAGAGAACAAGTGTGTTAAATTCAAAATTACTTTTTAAATCTAAATATCTTTTAACGTATATTCAATTCAATAGTGACAGAATAATGAATTCAGAGCTAAATAGTAAATTTAACTCTAGTCAAGCAAGGGACCGAGTAAACAGTGGAGCATTGCAAGACTTGGTAAAGAACAATGCTGATGTTAATACGGTTATTGGAGGTAATAGTCTTCTTCATTGGGCAGTTATTAATTTGGAGGAAAATATTTTAATTACGCTACTCGACAAAGGAGCTAATATTCATGCTAAGAATCATGATAATTTTACGCCACTCGAGATAGCAATTCAGAGTAATACAGCGAATATAACATCATTGCTTATTGAAAGAGGAGCTCTTGTTGACGATGATTTTCATTCGTTACTAAATATGGCGATTAATGAGAAGAATGATCAAATAGTGAAGATGATAATCGATCATGGACTGCAGGATAAACCATCAGTTAATTTAGCTAAACATTTTAAAGTTGCTCTTTTTCAAGGAGATTCAAAGATACTTGAAGCCATCCTCCCTCACTGTGGATTTTCGAAACCATCTGATATATACATTCCTAGAGAATTTGTGATGGATACTTTTTCTCTATATGAAAACTGTCTTGAGTTGTTGTTAAAATGGTATTTCATTATCGGCCCAGACAGTTATCATGATGAAGACTTCATTTATGCAGCATTCGAAAATGGACATCTACCAATTGTTATTAATCTCTTGGAGCATGGAATTGATGTCAACATGGTCAGTTCAAACACTGGACTCAATCTACTGACTATTTCCTGTATGAACAAACATCATCAAATTATTGAGAAACTCATGGAATACAAAGCAGATACAAATGTAAAAATACCTAGCGACAATGAGGTATTCGATGATAATCCAATCTTCGATCGTCATATACTTGAATTTAACGATTTATTTGAATCGAATGATTATGAGGATGATTCGATCGAACTGACATGTCTATGCATAGCAGTTTTCAATTCCGATCCGATAACAGTAAACATTTTATTAGAACATGGTGCTGAAATAAAAGATAATACAGAATTATTTAATTTAACTTGTATAGCAGCAAAAAATGGTTGTATAGAAATTGTTAAAAGATTTTTAGAGCTTGGTGTTAAAGTTACTGATGTTAATTCACATGGAGAAACCCTATTGCATTTTTGTCTTTCTGCTAGTTATGATAAGCAGGATGCTAGTTGTAACGTTGCTGAACTACTTTTAGAAAAAGGAGCTAATATTTTACTTCAGCCTCGTGGCAATAATTATGTCTTAAAAGCAATAGAAAATAATAATGTTAAAATAGCTCAGCTGTTTCTAAATCATCATGCTGATATTCAATATGTCAGTCCAAATGGTGATACTTTACTTCATAAAGCTACGAAACATTGTTCGGACGTTGAATTTATAAAAAATTTGTTAAAACTTGATGTATCAGTTAATGTATTAAATAATGTTGGCCATACACCACTTCTTAATGCTTGTAGTCAAAGATCAAAGGATCAATTGAAGATAGTTAAAACACTTTTACGTCATAAAGCAAACGTTGACTATAGAAGTAGTTGTTCATTGACTCCTCTAATGATGGCAACTTATGATAAACATATACCAATCATTAAAATATTACTCAATCATCAAGCTGATCTAAATGCTAAAGATCAATATGGCCAAACTTGTCTTCATTTTGCTTGTAAATCTATGAGTGGGGAAACTATAACTATAATAATGCTATTGCTGAAACATGGAGCAGATATTGAAGCTGTAGATGTAGATGGGAGGACACCTCTTTTTACAGCTCTTGAAACAGGTAATTTAGACGCAGTTCAATCTCTATTGCATCATCAAGCTAATCCTAATCATATTGATTTAGAAAATTTTACTCCTCTTCATTTTGCTATTAAACAGGCGTTTGAATTATTGCATTTCTTTAATATGATTTATCAAGCAGTAGAATTATTAATAAAATATGGTGCTAATATTGATGTTTTGGATAAACAAAATCGAACTCCACTTCAATATGCAATTGAAATTAATTTAGGTCCTAATAATTGTGTCAAAAACAAATTACAGGTAACAATAATTAGAAATTTATTAAATCAAGGAATCAAATTGAAGACTATTGGAATAAAGTTGAAGAATTATAATTCAAATGTGGAGTATAATTTTGATAGTTATGTAATCATCGATAATAGAAAGTATTTAGTAAAAAATATTCTTCAACTCAATGTTGATCCTGAGTTCAGTGAAGTAATTGATGATAACGAACATTCTTATGATGGGGTTTCCATTGGAGATTTAAAAGCTCAATGTGAGGAAGAAATTCAAAAAATGAAAAATACAAAGATTGGTGTAAATCATTTTACTTTTTATGATTTATTTGAAGGAAATATTAATATGATATGTGCTGTTTTTGAAAATGATAAAATCAAACATCTAAAAATGGGAGCTTATGATGAACAATTTCCATTATATATAGACATTATCAAGAACCGTCTTCGAGATGCAAGCCTTCTTTACCAACCATTTATACCAAGGATATCTGCTAGAGAATATTTCAAGTCAAAAATTAATCGACGATTATCTAACCAATGTATCGATTTGATATTAAGTTATTTAAATAGTGATGAGGTAAAAATTTTCATCGAAGCTATGAAGCCATCAAGTAATTAATAATTTAAAATTACATACTACATTTTATTTATTGTATAATAATATTTTATTGTTTAATTTGTTAAATGTATTTTACTATATTCTATATTCCAGTATATATTTTTATAATTGTCATTTTTTAACTATTCCAATAGGTAATAAAGAGAAATTTGTTTCTCTTTTTTTATCTATTAAAACTCAGGACTTACTGTTAGGCAAAGAGATACAATTACAAAAACCGTTCATGTGAACATAGTAACATATTTATAATATTTTTTTCTATATAATCACGGAGATTACAATTTAATAATGATAATAACAAAAGAAAATTTTAAATTACCGTAATAAATAATAAAAAACAATAATTTAAGAATATAAAATTAAATCGACCAATCAAAAAAGTGTAGCCATTTTATTCGTGCGCTGATTGGTTGATTTTATTTTAAAATTTTCGAAATAAAAATAAAAATAAAATAATTTTTTACGTTGTCGGCTTGAGGTAGTATTTCTAGTATTTTTTCACCATTGGTGTGTTAGTTGTTCATTCAGTAACATGACATGAAAATTTTTCATTCAATTAAAATTATTTTATTTTTAATTTTATTAAAATTAGTGTATTTTTTAATTTTTACCACAATGTATTTCTACTTTTCCACATGTTTTTTAACGTACTTTGTTTTTCTAAGTATCAAAAATGATTTTTAAATTATCTAAACAATTAAAAACTAAAAGATGTTCCTTATATGTAATCCAAACCAGAAGAACAATAGAAATTATCTCGTAATTTCTACTCTAAAATTTTCTTTAAAAGTAATAAAACATGTGTTTTATTATAATACAAATCAACATAAGCATCTACAGGCCACATATCATATTTGTTTAAAATATAGTAAGTTAGAATAAGACCCTGAATATAATTTTTAAGCAGTCTGTTCAAAACTCTCTTACTGTTAAGATTGTAAGCACCTTTCTCGAGTTTTTTTCTGACAAATAAATTTTTTGTTTTGTATATATTTTCATTAAGGTAAATTACAATCTGTTATTATTTAACAAAAAGCAGTTCTTCTGGTAACGGCAACATAAATAGACTGTATTTAAAGGATCCTTCAATGAATTACTCTCTGTTATTTAATAAATAAAACAAGTCATGATAAATTTGTTTGTTTATTTTTAAATGAATATTTAATACCTCATAATCTTTCCAACAGCATATCAAAAAAATTTCTTCTTCAACCAATTAAATTTACTTGTAATATCATTTATTTATGTACTTATTTATTTAATGACATCCATTAAATAGAATCATAATATTTTACTGAAAATCTAAAAACATGTCATTAATTTATTTAATAAAAATCTCAATAATGAAAAATTATTGATACTTTTATATTCCACATTATCCGAGTCAGTAAAGAGGATTGTCTATCATTAGGTGACCTTTCAGCATCAAGGAATGTTTTTAAATCTTCATTATTCAAATTACTCCAAATTGCATCAATACATTCATCATCATCAGGTAATTGTTACTTGATTTAACTAGAAAATTAATACAAATTAGTAATTAGAATAAAATAGTACAATATTAAAGATGAATTATTGATAATAATTTAACTTACCGATTTTGTAAAAAGACTGGTGAAAATTGTGCGAGGTGCTTCAATCATGAGACATGTTTACTTTAGTATAGTATATAAAACCAAGAAAAGAGTGGTTTGGTCGGAAAACTTCATATATCTAATACTCCTATATTGCTAGTTCCCGTAAGTGGGCGCATGGCCTATGAAGTGAGACAGAAAATGAATATGTCTGTCTCTTTCTTTTCATTTGAACTGTTGTGCGCAAGCGTCACTACCGTAGAGGGAGAATTGGCAATTGGAGAAGGGCAAGCCACCATATTCTTTTTTTTTAAGGGCAAGTCACCATATTCTTTTTTTTTAAGTGTGCAACTATTTCCTCCAATAAACATATTCGTTTCTCTAACTTTCGATTTTTCTCCCTAAGTGCCTTGATCATTTTTGATTTTTTTTTATCTGCTTCACGGACAAAACTTAGAATTCTTTTAGTTCTTCTTGGTGATTCAAAATCAGGCGTCTTGATCTCAGAAATATATCTTGGTTCGAAGACTCTTCTCTTAGGCGTAGTATAAATACTTTCAGCTGTAAAAAAGAAATTTTATTTGAATAAATAAATCACGGAATATAGGTCATTCAATTACATCATTTTTCTATTGTATTTACATTGTACAAAATGCTGATCTACTTCACTGGCCGCAGTAGCTTTTGCAATAGCCAATCGACGTCGTTTTATAACATCATCACATAATTGAGGAGCTAAAAGATGAAATAACATTATCGTCACATACTAAGAATATTTTTTGCAAAAATGTAAAAATGGTTATAATATTAATACTTACAATTATTTTCATCACCAGACATATTTGTAGGTAATGGTGATTCTTGGACATTCTCTGTTTTATTATCATCATTATCAGTCAGTATTTCAATTTGATTGGCATGAGCAATCACATTGTCAAATGTGTCGACATTAAGAGCCATATCATTGAATGCACTATTTATATTTGTATGTTCTATTCCAAACTCATTATTTTTTGCAATATTTTCACTACCAATATTTAGTATATTATCACTGAGAGAATTCTTACACGAAGCATCTATATTTGAAGTATTTGCATTTTCATTGTTGTACATTTTATTTGGGATATCAATTGATGGGACTGCATTTGATCTTAAGGTACATCTTGTTTGAAATTGATTTCCTCGATCGACATCATTAGAATTGAAATGTAATGAGCAAATGTAAATGTACGTTAAATTATCATTGGAGGATAAATTACACGCTGTAATCCACTTATTTCTGAGTATTGGATTTTTCGGAAACCTATTTAGAAGTAATATGTAAAATTAAATGTCTCGACAACGAATTTATATTATAATATTATACAATAAAAAAATTAAATACACCCAATTAAACTTACTTGTGTAGAGAGATTCGATCACTTTTTGATGCTTTGCGTCGGCATATATAGCACGTCAGGCCCATTTTTTTAAATGTTATGCACAAAACTACACTCACAGGTACTTATTATTTAAATAATATATTAATTATTTGTATAAACAAATAATTAAAATCACTTGGTGGTAAAAAAAACAATATAAATAACCTCTTAGTGAACACACTTCACGAACACGTGGGCTACACGTGAGTTTATTTGTACACGTAAATATTTATAAATATAATAATTATTATTAACATTGAATTGATTCTGAAATGGCTTTGAAATTAAATATAAAAAAAAAATTTCGATATTTAAATACTATAATTATTAATGAAGTCAATTAAAATATATAAAAAATTGGATGTAGCATGTGAAACAGACGCTACTTTATATGAAAAATGACGCTATTCTATTTGCAAAGGATGCTATCTCATTCCTTGTACAAATTGAAATGCTACCTAATGCGCACGCTCCATTCACGATCATGCGCACAAGTTGCAGCGTATAATAAGTGAGAGAAACGCATATATGCTGCACCGTAATGCTTAAGTCTCCCTCCCTATACCGACTAGCAATATAGGAGTATTACATATATGGATACTGTACACAAAAACGTGAGATCATACCAAAAACAGCCCCACGGAGAATTTGAGGTTACACTTATCACTCGTTGCTCGAGAAGGAGCAAGTTTCTTTATTTTCTATACTTTTTGTTGAAGGAAGTCACTGTGTGGCGCCACTTTCCGAAAAACAGAGGTAAGCTCTACGGGCTTCCGTAGGTAGGAGATAATTCGATAAAGTAGCACCCTGTAGATGTCGTTTTAGGAAAAATGCCGGTAAAGTAATTTGAATTGTCATGAAATTTGTATACTGAATAAGAATTATTCTTTGGGTCATTTCAAAACACTTCTTATCATGTAAAATGAAAATTATTCAATTTTTAAACAACTTTTAATTACACAAAATTATTACTATATCTTACGAAATTATTACTTTTTTTATTTCAAAAACTTTGTTTTAATACCAAACAATTCTGTTAAAATCCTTAGAATCAAATTCATTACTTTTTAGAATGATTTAATTTTTTTTCATTATTATCTTTTTTAAAGGTTATTCATTTGGTATAAATAATTATAAATAGTTTCTAACAATAGAATTCAAATTTTTTGAGGTTAAAAAAAAAAATTATGCATAAATTACAGATTTCTATTATTGCATGCAGTATTTTTTAGGGTAAAAATTTATTTAGGGTAAAAAAACAATGCAGTTTAGTAATTTTTACCCTCACCCTGCAGTGTCACCAAATTACCATAAAATTCAGGATAATTTTTACTATACATTTCTCTGCATGTACGAATTATTATTTACAAAAATCGGAATTTTGTTATTCCAATAAAACTTATCATATTTATTGTTTATAGAGTAAACAGATGTACGTTGATAAAGGTTTCAATGAAGTTTAAGTTTAGAAAAATTTACTCGAAGGAACGATTCTCGAGAAATTATTTACATGAGGTGTAATTTTACACCTAGACAATTAGCGTATTGAACAATACGTTAAATACTTAATCAATTTCTTATCAAATAATACACCTTATCAGGATAATTGGAGTGATAGCATAAACTTCAACTTCTCAAGGCTGTTAGCTTCATTATAAATGATACGGTGAATAAAAATTAAACCATTCCGCTTTCCAGCAAATTAAATTAAATAAAGTTAGCTCTAAATTATGAGAGTCATTTACATATTTTCAATAATATTTTTCATACCAAATGGGGTTAAACTTTTTAGCATTCCTATCGTTAGTGACATTCAGGATATGATAGGACTTGCAAATGATATTTTTAACATAGTGAATGGAGATGTTCCATTTAAAGACTTAATTAGTCCAGAAGCAAATCCTTTAGATGATGTGTTCAAGAAAATTGAAGATGTTACTGAGCAGATAGAGAATCTAGATACGAAATTAGACGATGTATTGGCAACAATTATTAGTCGACTTCCACTAGAAGACAATATTAATACTGATATACGTGACCTCCAACAACTTATCTCCACAGTCGATGAAACATACGACGAATTTCTGGAATACGCCGACGACATAGAGGATTTTAACAATGAAACAATCTTGGAGTTCATTAACAAAATTACTTCTACCAAGACCGGAAATCTTCCAAGCATACTGAGTTCAATCTTCAACATCATTGTTCCTAAGAAAACAGCACTATCTCGTGTGGGCCTCCTGGAGAACATGATCGAGAGAAGGAAGGTAAGTGGCTGGTATCTTCAATTTATGACTAATATTCTTTCTTGTATTAGGTGTATAAATCAATTTGGTCCATTTCATTACTTCGAACGACAATAAATCACTAATTTTAGATGATGACTACTCTGGAGACGTGTGATTCTCCGATATCATTCCAAAATCAGCTGTTCCAGATCTACAATTTGATATCAATTACTGAAATGAGAGCTTTTTTTATGACTGCATATGCTTACAGATTGAAAAATGAATACGAAAACGGTAAATAGTCATTACTTATTTAATAACACTTGTTTTAACAATGGGACATTATAATGATGATAACTCTGTCCTTCAGTCAAGTCAACTGGCGAAACCAAACGTGCACAGAGTGGATTTATTATGAGAACGGACCAGTACTTGATAGAGTTCCAGAAGAACGTAGCTAAAGCTGCGAGAGACATATATCGCTGCGATCCTAACAAACTGACCGATAGTGAGTATCTTTGATACTTTGTAATAAAACCTAAAAGAAAAAAAAATGTTTAATCACACAAAATGGCATTCTACATTTGATAGAAAATACGTACATCGAATTTGAGGGGCTCTTCACGGCTTTCGTAATGAATGAAATTCAAGCTTTTGATGGTTCTTGCTCGAGAACTTGTCCGGAAATTGATAAATGGTCATATAATCTTTGCTATTCCTTTGGTAATTCTCGTTGGTGTCCAGCAACTCCTTGCAATGGACACCTTTACCAGTGTGAGTGGATCGGTGGTAATGTTGATATTTGCGAGTATGTAAGTAAATTAATAATAATCAGTATATCTAGTGATATTATTAACAAAGTTATTGATTAATTCATATTACTTGACAGACAGGTGATACTGCGAAACGCTATGAATGGGTGCACTCCTATGCGAATGGATGGTATGGACAGAAGACAAATTGTTCAGGATCGAAACTGCAAAGTCTAAGTGACAAGGGTTCAGGATTGTATAACTGTGATATGTGTATTTGTAAGTGTGAGGAAATTCGGGGTGCCTCTAAAGCCATTAGAACTTTTAGTTTACGTCGTCAACAGACCAACATTTATGAAAACAAGTATGTTCCTATTAATTAATAACATCAAATTATTTTTTAAGGAGTAAATGACATAGTTGTTGATGATTCTAGAGTTGTCTCCGACGTAAAGTTTGTCCTCGATAATAATGTAATTCATATCCAAATAGAAGAATCACCTTTGTTACCAACTGGTCAAGTAGATAGAAATCAATCATCTTGGGTTCCTCTTGAAAAGTTCTCGTATCTATCGAATACTCAAAATGGAGGCTTCTGGATAACATCCACTACCAATTATGTTTTTACCGGAGACGAGGATGTCGATTATGCGTATATTAAACATAATCGGAAAGTATTGAATCTTGATACAATATCAGGTGGACCGAATTACGTCCTAACAGGAGTCAAGTTAAGTCATGCAGTACAGATGAAAAATGGAAAACGTGAAAGTAAATCATTAAGTCCACTTCAATTAGAAGTTCGTGTCACACCATTTGATTATGCTAATGGTAAATTAAACCCTACTAATGACAATCCATCAAAGTGGATCACAGCTCAAACTCAGCCTAAACCACCACCCGCATATTCTGAAAAAAGGTTAGTAAATTCTTTTCATATACAAAATTTGGGATTAATATTATTAAACCTATTACAATAACTTCCCACTGGGAAATTAGAAACTCAGATCTGACTGATTCCGAAGTTTTGATCCTGATCGGAACTAATTTTTAGTTGAATTTCAATCATTCGTCTTTCTTTCAGAGAAGAAATCAAAATAGGTAGTAAGACGTATAAATATGAAACCGTACAGAATTCTCCTAGTCTTGCGTCGAATCGCTTCATCAAGTTTCAACAATCTTCCATCTGGAGTGATGCTGGTCAGAGCACGCTTCCTTTCCTAGACTCTAGATCTACGGTTCCTGCTAGTCCTCTAGCACTCGATGGTCTTGGTCTTATCTACCGTGGTCACCCTAAATATGGAGGATTTGTAGCTTTTAAAGCACTTACAATCAATCTATCGAGTTTCATGGATTCATCATTGACTGATGAACAGCGAGCAGAATACACGAGAAGCTTCCGTCAAGGTATCGCTAATACACCAACTAAGAAGAGAAGGAAACATAGAGGCCGGAAAAAGCACTGATTATAGATATCTTATATGTGATGCATATTTTTATCTAAATTTATCTAAACTCAGTAAACATCGTTGGATAATGTATCTATTGTGTAACGCTAATTATCACGCTGGGAGCAAAATTATTGTTTTAATTATTATCTAATAATTTGGAAAAGTTTTTGCAGGATAATTATTTTAATTGTATTTTATCAAAGGAATATAATGATTTATTTCTCTAAAAATATTGATAAAAATTCAAGTAACAGATGAATCAAGTTAAATTTTACAGCTTTATTTCATACGATTGTGATGATAAAAAAAAAACAATTAATGGAATATTTATATATTCTTGTATTATTTTAAATTATACTATTACTCAGATGTGTATCATTAATCTCCAATGTCATTCTTTTATAATCCCTCGAATTGTCCTCCATGTTCTAGTGTTGCATCTAATTTTACTTATGAGAGATTAAATATTTTCAGATGTTGGTACGATAAATTGTTCTTTATACCATTGTTTTACTACATATACACATTATATTGTGCATTTTAGTAAGCCACGTGGCGATTGTAACTTACCATGATTACAACCAACCACTCAACCACTGTCGCCACGTGCCATCCAATCTATATCTAATAATGTAAACAGCCTTACAATTACAAACTACAAACTACTTTATACATTATTTCAGATAGACGTTCGTCAATGGTGTTATATTACACCATGTGAACTAATCGCCCTTTTCCTCCCTCTTTTTTCATTAATTATTTATAAAATATTTCTACAGGAAAAAAATTTATTGCAAACAAGAGATACTTTTTTTTAGATAGAATTATCTAGAGTTATCTGTCTTATCTTAGATAGAATTATCTAAAGCTTTAGTTAATGATTACTTTTTTTTATTGGATCCAATTTATTTATTACTTTCAAGTAAAATCTTTTCTAACCTCAAAGAAAAAATAAATTGATTGAGCTGAACAATTAATTTAATGAATAATTATTATATTAAAATTAATCAAATCATATATTTTAAAGTGAGTATTCGACATTTTGTTTATTGTCTAACCGTTAAAGTTGACCTAACCTAGAAAAAAAATAGGGCTTTATAATAAAATAACTTTAAAAACAAAATAATCATGAGATTTAGTAAATTTGAGTATTAAATTTATTTTCTATATTAAATATAAAAAAAAAAAAAAATATTTAAAAAAAATTTAAATCAAGAATAAAACATCAAAGTACAATAAATGTTGAAAAAAAAATTTATTTTTCATCATATAATAATATATAATGATATAATAATAAAAATAATCATCACATCAAGCAATGGTTATTTGTATTATTATTTTAATCAATATGTATTTATTAAGGCTGGGCTTTACTAACCTCAAATCACCTCAAATTTTTCTCGTCAAACTGTGCATTTTTTATTAGTTTTTCTCATGTGAAAAATATTTAGGAATATTCAGAAAAGTGGCATACACATCGGAAAACAAAGATTTTTCGTACCAGTGTAATAATAATCGTAGAATAAATAACTTTTCAGTGAATTTTGAGGTGTCATGGCGGATGCACTTGTCATGAGCCCTTCACTGAAAAGTTATTTATTCTACGATTATTATTACACTGGTACGAAAAATCTTTGTTTTCCGATGTGTATGCCACTTTTCTGAATATTCCTAAATATTTTTCACATGAGAAAAACTAATAAAAAATGCACAGTTTGACGAGAAAAATTTGAGGTGATTTGAGGTTAGTAAAGCCTAGCCTTAATCAATAGCTCACGTGTGTGTTATGTTTACAACACTGTATGATAAATAAAATCATTTCGAAATAGGTAATGAAATTATTGCTAATGATTTACATATTGTATTTAACAGAATTATATATACATATATTTTGTTGATATATCAATTGATGAATGAATTAATGAGTTATTTATTTATTTATTTATTATTATTATTATTATTAGTATTAATATTATTAGTATTATTATTATGTCAATAGTCATTTTAATCTGCACATAAGAAAGTATATGACGTGATTTTTATTTTTACATAAAATCTAACAATTCCAACGATATGCAAAAACAGAAACTATTATTAGCAAATTGTTTAATAATTTTTAGTTTTTGTTTAGTAGTTTTATCTACTAATCTATCTACATTGAAATGTATATAAAGGGAAATTGATATTTTTTTACGTGATTGTTGTTGTTATTATTACTGCTATTATTTTATATTAATATCAATTTATTTATTTTCTTCATTAATATCATCTTATATTATCTGACTTTTATTTGCTCCTTTACTTTTATTATATAAATTAGCTTTTATTTCTGTCGTCGTTCTACTTTTGGGAAGACAGAAGTGCGTTAAAGGGGTATGCGGGAGGAATATGAGCCCGATAGATTAGCCGCGTAAGGGGTGTGGTGACAGAGGGATGGACACGAGTGAGGGGACGGGCAGATGAGGGGGCCGGTGCTGCCGGTCGCTATAGGTGGCGCGGGTGGGGGTGCGAGGGAAGTACTCGAGGTCAAGCAGTTTGACACGAGACAGGTACCGAGGGACAGAGTTGCAGCATGGAGTTATTGTGTGAGGGAGTTACGGAGATAGTGACAAGTGAGCTGACACGTGGAGGAGAGTAGGGACACGGAGGTGCGAGAGCGGTAAGCAGAGTGGACGAACAATGATGTGACAAAAAATAGACCAATTACCAGCCGGGACTGTGTTCCGGGAGTCGAGCGGAGCATGCATAGAAACTGATTGAGTTTACTACTGTACAACCTCCTATGAGGTTTGCTGTGGATTTTCTAGCTCGCGTATGGGTTTCTTTTGTTTGTGCGACTGACAGTGTTAACAATAATTTTTTTATCTATCCATACCACTTTTGTAAAATTAGTAAATTAACAATTATTATTCAAACAATTTTATTACAAAATGATGATTTATATGCAGTAATTATTCAATTTTTTATGCAAAATTTATTTATTATCGATAATTTTATGCAATAAGTCTTTAAAAAATAAATTATTCAAACAATTTTTTTTGTTTATTAAATTAAACAATTTATTGTTTTGATTATTTTTTAATGATTATTATTACTAGAGAGGTTGTACTTCGAATATGTTACTCATAAATTCTCACTTTCTTTGTTGATTTTGCATTACAAATTATTTTAATTTAAAGTTAAGAGACTCTATACTCAATCATTATCTAGAAGCTAATAAACATTGAATTAAAAAAATTTTTTTTTTTCCATTATAATAATTAAAACCCTTAATTAATAATTGTTTATCAGTTTAATAAATATTCTTAATTGAATTTTTATCATGTGGTTAATTAACTGTCTTCAAATTAACACATAAATAAATATATTGTAAAATAATTACATGTCTCCATCTATTTGTTATTAACAAAGCTTGATTTATTTGTTTATATTAATTCACTAATTAATAAAATTTATCTGAATGTTTATTAATAAACAAAGTCTCATAATATTTTTCAAAGACTCATTATTATTTTTTTTTAAATACTTTTATTACAAATTAAAGTTTAAAACATTAATAAATTTCTTCTGATTCACTAGAGTATTTTTATTGGCCACAACAAAAAATGTTGTTAAATAATTAAATAATTTATTTTACCACATTCTCTAGCTTCTTTACAAAATAATAATCAAGTACTGAGTCCTTAACCTTACAATTAATATCATTATTACTATTAATTAAATCTACATTTGTTGATATGTTAATATTTTTATGAATTAATTAAGAGGGTAAAAATTTACCATTAAGAAGCAATAATATTTATTGTTAATAATTATTACCAGAGCCTTTTTTGTTTCATCTGTATTTAAAAAATTGATTGAATTATTCAAACAATTAAAATAATAATAATAATTATTCTTCTGATGATTATTAATTATTACCTAATTATTTTATTATCATTTTTTTTTTTGTGTTAAAACTCATTTGGCCATGAAATTTCTATAAAATACATTTTTATCAAGATGTTACCACAAAAACATGCGCACATGATGGAAGACAATGTACATACATGATAAAATTTATCAATGAATATTTAAAAATAATAATGATGATAATAAATAATTAAAGAATAAAAAAAATATTAATACACTAGTAATTAAAAATTATCTTTACAATATTCAGATATGCCTCATTCTTTTCTATGATTATATTTATTATAATTATTATCATTAGAATTATAAAATGCATTTGATTATTTTTTATCGCTGATATACATCAGATAATAATGAATAATTATTAATCAATATCAAAATAAATAATAACTAATAATTAAATACATCATAACTTGTATAAGATAATTACTTGAAAAAGTAAATTACGTTATAATCACACTTCTATACATCCTACATGACTGGATTTTATATACATATGTATACCTTGTCTAGTCAGAGACCTTAATCTCACAATAATAATTCTTCACTATTTATATTATAAACAAATCGATGAATTTTCTATCTCGAATTAATAAAAATTTGTCTTTAAAACAAACACAGTGGATGCCAAGTGTTGGTGGTAGAGAAGGTTAAATGTTCAGGGAATTATTTGATAGAGGAAGTCAACAGAGAACTTGCAGCAGTGCCAGTTGAGTATCCTTGATGATTACAAGTAGATAGCATGAAGGGATTCATGTTAAATGATGTCATCGTAGTACCAACCATATCACCTAGTCCTGGAACATAACAATCAGAGTTTTGGATTAATCAACCTGGTTGTTTTATACCCTGGTAGTCCAGCTCATTAGCAATAGAATTGATTAATTATCTTGGAGAAGAACTGCAGACTTCATTGGCAGTGTCATTGGTGTTTATTTCTGCATTTATGTATGGATCTTGTGATGGAATATCATGATAGAGTCTAGCTTCAAGTCCAACAGTAGATTTGATGAAGACACTGATGACTACTTGTGGATCTTGTGCTAGACCAATTGGTCAGACTTTCAGCAACAATCTGATGCAGCTCCAATACTCCAAGGTTTTTGAAATCAGACTTGTATACAAGGACGTGCTTTATATTATTTTGTCACAAAATTCATACATTGATGGAGAAATAGACATCTATGGCACTGCTGCGAAGTCTGAAATTTATTGCAAGATCATTAAGCAAGACTTTTAGCTGATTTTTAACAGCTAGCTACTAAGATAATTTAACCATTCAAAATAGGAATAAAAAAACTTGGTCATAATTGGCAATTCTTTTCATCAATGTGTAATTAATCTTGGACTATTAGCTATCAAATAAAAAAGCCTAGAAATATTTTAATCTATAAGAGACGTGCGAGCTAAGTACTTTGTTATAACTTCATCGTAACTATTTTTTATTGGTGATATAAAATTAACTGGTGATAAATTACATACTGATATGTCTTATTATATGATAAAAACATGTCAGTTAAAGTGTCTACTATGTTTTACAGAAAGATATACATAGTTTTATTATTCTATAATTAATTATGATGTTTTATGATATCTCACTTGTAGTATGAAATGATGGTGATGATAATGATGATGGGTATGATGATGTAAAAAAACAGCATGAAAAGTTACTGCGCAGCTGTTGCAAGGCTATGCTGTGTGGACCAATGTGGTGATGCAGAAATGACCGAGGTTGTTGGTGGTGGTCCACTACGAATTACAGGAGCAAACGCACTCCCATCTCCCGATGAATAAAATATTCCGTATTGTTCATGCGCTAAAAATATTAAATAAATACTATTTTATTATTAAAAAAATAAGATAACTAAGATAATAATTATCTTTTAATCTAATAATTATATCTAAAGTCCAAGAGATGATTGATTGCTAATCATGCAGTTGATTTATTTGATAAATAAAAATAATTTGAAATGTTGATGAATGAATAAATAAAATACTTACGAGAAGTATAAAAAGTTGGGCTCGCAGCAGTATAGGGATTTGTGACTGCAGAAGAGTAACTTCCAGCACTACCACCAGTGCTACTGTGACAGCTGAGAGGTGTGCTGGCAGAACTAGTACAGTATCCAACAGAACTGCCATTGCTAGTCATAATACTAGTACATCTTGGACTAACACTACTGGTTTGTCTATAAGCATCGACACTGCTACCACCACCTGCTACATTGTTGTTGGTACCTTTACCACCACCACCATCACCACCACCACCACTATTAGCTGCACTGGTTCCCGTACTCACAGAGTTTCCGTCTAAAAATAGAAACCTGCCCGGTCAGAGACAAACTCGCGTGAGTAACCCATGGCTCTTTATCACAGTACTGTTGCCTAGTCATTACTTGAATTTAGTTAACTACTATTATCAACTTAAACCCACACATACATCTATCATTATCACATAATAGCCAAGATTTTAAATATTTGTTTAAATCAATTACAATAGTTAAAGAGATAAATAGTAGGTAAATACATATTAACGCACCATCTGTCCATTTGACTGTACTGCCACCACCGCCACCACCACCTCCTCCTCCTCCTCCACCGCCATTCTCCTGAACAGTAACAGCTAATTGACCTGTGTAAGAGTTGAAAGCTGTATTGGAAGTGGATGTTGGTGGTGCTGGTGGATGACTCGAACCAGTAGGACTTCTTGGAGCACCCGGAGTCAATGATGAGTTACCTGTCCTAGGCATACTGTACAATATTTCTGCTAAGTCTGCTGCTCTTTTTAAAATTATCTCCTTCGACAGCTTCTCTGGATCACCCGGATGCCGGGGAACCAATTTTTGTAGCCGATCAAAACCATAAGCAATCGTTGGTTCATTCATAGCTGAAAACATATCATCATTTAGATCTATATGATTGGTGATCATCTTGATCAATCATTTGATCTTCTGTTACTTACAAACATAAACAAATCTTCCAGGTGATCCTCGGCAAAATTGTTTGGTTTTATATGACAACGTGACTTCAACTACTCCAGGTGCTTGTCTAGGAGGTGTTTGAACTTTTATTGCATGATCTGTGATCAACTGTTGGACAAAAGAAAGCCAAGTTAATTATACTGATGAAAGGAGATGGAGATGAATGTTAGAAAAAGAGTCATTACTTCACTCCAAACTGGCATAGATCCAAAGACAACCTGGAGTCCATCAAAAAAATGCTCTCCAATGATAATGACGGTGGATCCACCAGAGGTCCAACCTTCACTAGGTGATATCGCTTTTATGCAAGGAGTTTGTAATGGTAATGCAGGATACAAACCTGTAAAACCATTAGCAATCATTAGAATAAACCTAACTTCAGAAAAAAAATTCATTCATTGGAAAAACATTTGCAAAAAAAAGAAGAAAGAGAAATGTTACGCTATTCATCTTAGTTCAATGACATTAATAGACTGAGTCAAAAAGCAGAAGAGAAAAGAAGAGGAGAATTAAATGGATAAGGATATAATCGTCAATTTCGCGCTTTTCAAAGTGTGTGTTTGAGGGAGGGGGGAGGAAACAAGCAGTAAAAGAGGGAAGAAAATAGACTGCAAGAATCAGACTTTGGGGGAGGTACTGAAGAATCAGTATTGTGATGAAGAACTTGTGTAGGAGAAAAAGTGAGCCCAAGTGTTGGGAAGAATAAGAATAGGGGAAAAAAACTCTTGAAATCTACAAGAAAATGGAATGGCGGATCCTTCGTTTTCTACTCTCGCTTGCCGCCGACGCTGCTTTCCATTGATTTACATCTTGTCTTACTACACAGTAAGAGGAAGGCAACCAAGCTACTAGTATATATAGCCACTAGGGTAGAGAGTCAAGTAGCGATATCAGCCGTTTGTATGCGCGGCCGACACCAAACTTTGCTGAATTGCCCTATGACTTCATCCCCCGGCCATCTCCTCATCGTACTAGTGTACCCACCAACTCCCCTTTTCTCCATTTGTTCTTGTGATCTCTTAGTTCTTTCTTTTTATTCACTTTTACTACCATCACACTGTCAGAGTCGTACACGTATACATGCTATTGACATTTCGGACGGTAAAAGTGGAACTATTTAATGTCCTGCGAGGGGAAAAAAATAATCCTCGTGTTAATAAAAGTCCAGTGTGTTCATCATTTATTGCAATGTCAATCGAATAATTCGGGAGGAATATAATAAACATGAGGGCGCGTTGTATGCCAATTTTGATGCTTGTCGTCCAAAACCATTACAATTATAACTTTAACCAACTTGCTTTTAACCAGTGGGGAAAATTGACACTTTGGAGGTTCAATTGCGGATATTTTTTTTTTTCAAGTTTTAGGGATTTGACAGGTCAGGTTAATTCATTTGAGTGAAAGAAAATAATGTAGTGAATGAGGCACAATATATATTTTATTGATATTTGTTAGTAGGGATTTTTTTATACTAGGGAAATTTTGGGGTAAAAATAATTTTAAGGAGGTAAAGATTAAGGCAACATAGCGTGATTTTTACTCCAACATATGTTTGGAATTTTTCGAAGGAAAAACTAGTAATTTTAATTGATCTTGAAGTAAAAATAGGGATTTTTTTTTTGTTATTATCTATTTAGTTATTTTTGCTGTTTTTAAGTTTAATCTAGGAACATTTTTTTGGAATTTAGTAACTTTTATCAATTATAACGTCAAAACAGGGACATTTGTGAGAATTTAGTGACTTTTATTGTTTGTAGAATAAAAAAAACTATTTTTTCGGAATAAAGTAATTTTCAGAGATTGCCAGGAACGAATAGGAACTTTTTTTTTTACTAGTCTTATAATTTTTGCTTTTAAGAAATTTAATCTAAGGACATTTATCAGAAATCTAGTAACTTTTCTTAATTTTTAATTAAAAGTAGGAATTTTTTGCTTTCATTTTTAAGATTGGTGAGGAAAACAGGGACTTTTTTCTTAAAATCTAGTGATTTTGCTTTCAAAACATCTAATCTAGGGACATTTCTTAAAAAAATCTAGTAATTTTTCATAATTTACGAAAAGTATGGATTTTTCTACTATAATTTAACAATCTTAGTCATTCATAAATTCCATCTAGGGACATTTATCAGAAATCTAGTAACTTTTCTCAACTTTTAATTAAAAGTAGGAATTTTTTGCCTTCATTTTTAAGATTGGTGTGGAAAACAGGGACTTTTTTCTCAAAATCTAGTGATTTTGCTGCAAAAAAATCTAATCAAGGGACATTTGTCAAAAATCTAGTAACTTTTTCCGATATTTTTTTTTAATTCGAACCATTTTTATATTTTTACTCATTGTAAGATTACTCAATTCATCGTGTCAAGTTGTCTAAAAAATTTCTTTTTGTAGTAGAACAAATTAAAGTCGAATATGAGTTAATTTTTTTTTCTTTTCAAATAGAGTTTATATCAACTTACTGTTGTATTCACCGTGGTCACTTGGATCCAATCGTTTAGCCCTGCGGCCATGTTTGCTGTTATTATGAACAAACATGTTATCAGAAACTGCTAGAAGGGGACCATCTACTCCAACTTGAGTTGAAATTATTACCTATAAATAAAATAGTCAATATCGTGGTTGGATATGGTTTTTTAAATCATCATAAGCTTCTTACTTGAAATCTTCGCATGTCTCGTGGATTGCCAGCATTTTTTAAACAATTCTGGTTACATTTGAGGAAGAATTTGAGGAAAAACCTGCAAGCAAGAAAAAAAAAAGGAGATGAATAAAAGGAATGTTTTTCGGTGGGTAGTCGAGTGGTGAAAAGGTTAAACGACAATTGACAATGTGTTTAATGCTCTTCAGCACGAAACGAAACTTAATTAGAAGAGAGTAATACCCATCCCGAGCACGCCTTTGTACGACTCTCGTTTTCTCTGTACTGGAGAAGGCTTGCGTTGAATACTACATAAGCCAATCGGCGTCCCTATATACTCTCTTACTGCATCCACTACACTCTGCTCATGTCTATTATTCAGTATTTCTCTAGATTAAAGCCCCGCGGCCATGTTTACCGCCTCGATGTCCGCGACTTTTTTCTTTTTATTAGAAAAAATCAAATCAAAAAATTGGCTTTAGGGAAAACAAAGACTAAACAAGAGTTGGAAAAATTGCCAAATTATTCTTTTTTTTTTGCTTTTCATTTTTTAAATTTATTCCTTCAGAAGAAGAGAAAAAAACTTCCCTACTAAACAATTAATTTTTGATTTTTTAAACAATTACGAAACTTAATAATTAATTAATTAATCAGTGAATATTCACTGTTTTGCACTGATTTAATTTTAGAGAGTACCTATCACGAAGAGGAATGTATAATAATAATTACCACCATTTTGATATTAATTCGTTGCGCTAGAGTGTTTTTTTAAACAATTATATTTATTTGTTATTTAAAAACATTTTTTTGTTATTATTATTATTAAGGATGCTAAAAAAATAGTTAATTAATTGAAGGAAATGTTTTTTATTATAAAAAAGTCTTAGAGAATTATTTAAACAACTTATTGTTTACCGATTTTTTTATTGCAAAAATATTGTCTCGTTTACACGCAATCTGTTGTTTATCTTTCGATATTTATCCACCTTTCGATTATTTTTCCTGAGTCTTTTTTTTTTTTTATTTTTTCCTGTTGTTTACGTACATGCGTCTCTGACAAAACCACCACTACCAACATCAGTCCAATCCACACATCTCGCGGATTTCAACTCTCCCGCATGCCCATTCGTTTCCGCATCCGGTAACACACCCTCCGTAAAATTCACCAAATTCAATATACCTCCCCAATATTCTACATAATTCATGAAAATTGTGCCGTCGGCTTTTCTTGTCTGTGAGAGTGTTTTTTTCTTCTTTTATATATATATTTTTTTCTTTTTTTACCACTTTTACATTCCATTCTCTACCGCTTTCATCCTCCTATCAGCTACTGTCTATCTTCTGTACTCATAGACGTGACAGTAGATAAAAAACAAGTGCATTTTGTCTGTATAAAGTTTTAGATCTATTTAGGTTTCCGGTTTTGATAAATGTTTGTTTATCAAATTTTTTGCTATATTTTATTTCAAATAAACGAAGCATTTTTTTTTTTTTTTAAATAAATTCTCATGTCTCTTCTCTTCTCATGTTAAATACATTCTCATGTCATGAAAGGGTAAATAATTTATGCAAATGTTTAAAAAAATATAATGAATAATTGAACTATACACTGGAAAATAATTGAATAAAAATCAGCCTACAATTTAAAACAATTTAGGTTAAGGGTAAAATTTTACCCCACTATATAATAAATTTTACCTTACAGATTAATACAACCTTTCCGTGAGCTTTCAAAAATGTTTTTTTTTCGTAAAACAAATTGTACCATTTTGGAGGGTAAAATTTTACCCTTGTCGGTAGTGAAATTTACCCTTCAAGATTGTAGAATTTTTTTGTAAGTTTTAATAAACTTCCCTTCTACATATAGAACAAATTGTACTTTCCCGAAGGGTAAAATTTTACTCTTTACTCGAATTACTTTGTGGGGTAAATTTTACTCAATTTTTTTTTCTGTGTAGTTGTGAATAGAAAGCATTAGACTTGTCTGTACTATTTGATGATCAATGCTATCCACATTATGATTTTGTTGTTAAGAAATCAATAAATTTAATTCGATTCAATAAAATCTTTTTTTTTTAAACATTGCAACTATTTTCATTTTATTATAAATTTTATTACTGTTAAATAAAACAGATCATTTCATTCAATAACAAACTCTTAATTTAAAAAATGAGATTATTTATCCTATCATTAATTTTTAATCCCAAAAATGTAATTATTTATTTAATTTTTAATCATTATTAATTTAATTAAACTTTAAAAGGCTATGCTAGAAAATGTATGACATAAATATAATGAAAGTCTTAAAGTTCGATTAAACAAATGTTTGAAAATGTAATCTCCACTATCATCACCACCATTCTGATCACATTGATGATATAAGCAATGTATCCATTTAACTCCCATTGTACCAAAAAAGACTGTTAGCAAAAGAAACTTATCAAAACAGATGATCGTCTGAGTGCATCTTCATTCAATTCCAAAGCTCACTATTATTTCTTTTATCCTTAATCGAGAGATACATTACAACACACACATACACACTGGTCTGATGTCTAAATTCCAACTTATTATTAACTAAAAGGGATATTAAATGTAAATATATAATAGAAAGCTAAAAATACGTCGACAATGTCATTTTTTCTTTATATCGACAGCCTAAAGCATTGGCTGTTAGGGTGGACTAATAGATTGCATTACTACTAGCTGATTCAAATGCGAACTGAATTTTATTCTGGCAATAGGGTGATATCTATCGATAGCCCTGGATCGCTTCGCGAACTGAGCGTTAGTTTCTTACAGGGTCTAAACTCAATTTCGTCAGTCTATTAGATTTTTCCTCCTTCGAAGCTCGACTCCCTGCCTAGTATATACTGTTGCTCTGCACTCGATTCGCTTGGAATACTGTTACCCTTCCTGTACGCAATACCAGTCTAGTATTACTGATAGCTTTAGTTTCCGAACTGACTGAATCAGTTTTCTTTCCTTTTTAATTTTACAAATGTAATGCTAAAATATTTGAATAAATTATCTTGACTCACAGACGAAGATGTAATCATTCAAATTATTTTCTATTTTAGAAAATGAGTATAATTAAATATTATTTCTATGTACCAATATTTTAATCCAACATAGAGATCTAACTTTTTATCAAACAAAAATCCTTTTTATAATTTTTATTGTCATTGATTACTTTGAAGAAATTTCCAACCAATTCCATCACTAAAAGCAATGTTTGAATCATGTTTTATGCAAATCCGTCATCCACTACTAGTACTTACACTGTAAATCTCAGTTTTCCAAAATGCATTATTTTAATGCGAATAAGTGTGTTAAATATGACGTCACCCATTTGATGAACAAATAAAAGTAAGCGTTAAAAGTGACTACAATGTTAATCAAATGGGTGACATCATATCCATCATTCCTAAAATGGAATGAATGTCCAATATCAGCTTATTGTTGATAAAAAACATTTCTTTAAATCAATTAATTATTTTATAGATTTTATTCAAACAAGTATTTCAGTGAAACAAAAAATTTTTTCCCTCAGTTAAATAAATACATTCAGGGATATTAGATCGTACATGAGCAGCAGACCACCTATTGACCCGTCAAAAGGTTGTACGAAAGCACACACGGGAATATAAGCTAAGCATGCGAATGCATAATGAAGATGGTGCAGCCCAAGACGTCAATTAATAAGAATGTGTACTGAGGTCCGTAGTAAGTAGCAAGTACCAAGTAGTAACAGAGCTTCGAGACAAGCACTACTACACTCAACAACTCTACATATGTATTATCCCACCAGCCTAGAAGAAGGTGTAGGTATGCTCTTTGCATATACACCATCGTGTTCAGATAAGTGCAGAAGATGGGGGTTAAGGGTTGCTGGTAGTTGGTGCAGGCAAGGGGTTTGCAAAGTATCAAGGGATGTTTAATGTTTAACCAGTCTCCATTACCTATATAGATCCTAACTACTTCTAGACATCTTAGCTCGTTGCTGACATCCTGTTTGTAAAATCAATGTAATTAATAATCAACTATTGATCCATCAACGAGTATATCCTAGATGTTGATTTTGTTTTATTTAGGCTGAAAACAGGGGGAGGGGGGGAATGAAAACTTTGTTAATAGGAAAATATTTTTTAGTTAAAATTCATAACATGTAGGCTTGGGGTATGTTTGAAAGTTAAATATCAAACGAGTATTGTGGAATATGGATATATGTAAATACATATCTACCAACACACATGTAGAGGTAAACATAAAGTCTACCAACCAATTCAATCAAACCTCCCAATAAATCATTTGTTCTCGCACTATTGCACCTGCAGCAGTTTGTTTGTACTCATGTACCAATTAGTGATGAATTACGTTATGTGAAAATTTTTTTTAACTTTGCAAATATAAGTTTTTTTTCAGTCTATAGTTTTATACCAAAGATAGAATAATGTTGCCAACATTGATGGCATCCCAACATCTTTTAAGTACTAAGAAGAGCTTAATTATTTCAGATGAATTGATGAGACGAAATTTAAAAACTTGAAATAATTTTCATCCTTTTTTCTTCAAAATCCTACACCTTTATGACATGGAATATAATCTGAACCCTGCATAAGTTGAAACAATTAGTACCCATGTTAATTTCATCAGCATCTAACATCTGAAACAAGCTTGGTACATCAAACACACACAAACAGAGAAAACCTGCACGCAGAGAAATGTATAGTAAAAATTACCCTGAATTTTATAGTAACTAGAAGTCGATAGCGCGCTCCGCGCACCTTAGTGAACATGTCTCACTATTTTTTCCATCAAATGCACACAATTTTTATAACAAAATATTTCAATATTAATATAAATAATACCATAGATAATATAAATATAATAAAATCTGAAAAATAACAACATCATAATGAACATTCTTTTCGAATTAACCAAATAACCAAATTCAAATGAAAGCTATTTACCGCCAATAAATTCAACAACCAATCGAGGAACGAATAAAAAGGCAACGAATATGACGCCATTCTGACGTCAATCCGCCAATCAATTTGTTAGAAAAAGATTTGGTGACACTGCAGGGTGAGGGTAAAA